CTCTTTGTCCTTCCCCTCAACAAGTGGTTTTGGTAAAAACTGCTTGTGTGTAAGCATTGTACTGTATAATGACCTGGATTTTGATTCAAAAGGCACAACTAGCAACGTAAAGGGTGTGATTCATATTTTCATTTTGTGTCTTTTTATTATTGACATCTAAAACCACAGGTGTGGCAGATGGAGACACACGCATACAGAAACAATCACATAAAAAGAACGAATCACAAATGTATGCATTTTTTATCTTTATTTTCCACAAAAGTTTATGATATTAATTTACAAAAAAAAAATACTATTTGCATTAAATACAGATGACTGAGAAAGATAACGAGAGCTCCCTCAACATAATTCCAATCCAACTTCCTTTTGCAATGCTTTCTTTATTTTGTCACCCTTCCTCTTTCTTCTTTCACCATCTAAGGAATAAACATAACTTGACATGTACTAAAATGCAATCGTTCACCCAGAAATACTGACAAAAGTAAACCTACCAGACCCCTCTGCCTTGTGCAAAGCCTTTCTTCCACCATGTACTGTACTTAACAAAACTAAAATAAAGAATAATAGTGGTGTGAAGCATTACAAACAGCCGTAACTCTTTATTCCTCAGACAATCTCACTTTGTCTCCTCTCGCTGTCTTTCTCCAGTCTTTTGTCCTCCTTTAGGCACCGTACACACTCTCATTACTGTAAGTCATGTAGAGAAACAGGTCCTCTTCGTGGTGCTCCTGTAACATAACAGAGCAGACGGTAATGCATAATTCAGTATCACAAGCATGCTTAGAAATGTGCACGTGGACTGACACACCCACAGAAGTACTGTTTGGACCTGATAAATGCAGTCAGGAATTTATCTGCCAGTCTCATTTTATTACTTGTGGAATTCAAAGGCTTTATGTCTTCTTAAACTTTTTTGAACACGCTACAACTTACTGGTTTTTATTTCACTTTCAGAATGAGTGCCATCAGTATGCCTCAACATAGGGTTGTACAACAAAATGCAAGCTGCAGTCCCTGAACATAACTACACACACACACGCTAAAAAAAAAAAATTTTCATGGGTTACTGGCAGGCTATTTGTGAGACCAGGAAAAGTGAAGCAACATTGCTGTCTAAGCAGATCTAACGCTTAGACAGCAGGAAGGATGAATAATGTGTGTAAGTTGAAACCTTGCATTTATGTAGCTGTGAACAGATAAACTCACAAATGGCTTCAAAAGAGGACAGTAATCTGGTAAATATGTTGGTGGTCCTGCTGGTTGTGTGTGTGTGTGTGTGTGTGTGTGTGTGTGTGTGTGTGTGTTGGGACGGATCCTCGTGTAACATGTGTGTGGAAGGGTGCAGTTACCTCATATACAGCAGAGAGAGGGGAGCTGGATGGGGGAAGGGAGTTGTTGACGAAGAAGAAGAGTGCCTCCTCTGGTCTCAAGGACACACGCTGGCGTATCAGGAAGCACAACTGGCCCACTAAAAAAAGGAAGACGAGAAAGGGAGTATGGATCAGCAAGGGTCACGCCAAGAGGTTTCATTTCATATAAAGAGGAAGAAAACTGAGGAACGTGGTCAGGTCACTGGTCAGTTGTGAGACAGATTCAGTGACAGAAAACAAAGCCGGTGTCGTACTATGAAAACTATTATCAGACTCAGAAAGACAAAAAAAAAAGCTACGACCAAATGTAGATCCACAACACTGAAACCAGACAGCTGAATCCTGTACAGTTTCACTTTGCAGCACTATTTTGACTTGTCACAGTAGGAAAAGCGCAGGTGGAATTAATAATATTAACGGTGGCTGAATTCCATTAAGTGCCCCAGTAAGCCATGACAGTGAGCCAGCACACACAATACCAAGGACCTTGGGATGCCGCCATCGTAAAGGTTATTATCTCCGCTTCTCCTACTATGACCTGTCAAAATGTCTGCCATAAAAAAAAGTCTATACATTTAGCAGAAGAAAATAAGGGTGGCCTGTAAAGAAGTTAGACAGATTAGTGTCACTTTCAGCTTTCCACCTGAATCACTGACAGCGACTGACTGATCTAGTCAGGTTTGGATGGTGCGTCAGCAGCAAGTTAGCTGGACACCCAAAGCTGAACTGGTCTTGTCCAAGTCACAGGTGGCTTTCTGTCGCCGGCTTATTGTAGACATATTGATATCTGTGTATACGTCACCCACTGAGTAACAAAAAAGTTGTAGAACAAATATGCCAAACCCGGACTGAGGTCATTTAGTCTCATCATTGCATAAGCTGTAAAATGTCCCACAGTCGGTATCTTGGTCACAATGCTATAAAAAAACAAAAAACAAGTCTAATGGATCCATATCAAGATTTTTTTTTTTTTTTATAACTCATAATCATATATTTTACATTCTGAATGTAGTTCAATAGTTAGTTAATAGTTGCAATGTGGAGATCTGTGAGTTTTAGTAGCTCATGAGATTGCAGGATGTGAGAAGTATTTAAGGACTTTTGAAGTTTTTTCTGACTGTGTTTTTCACCTGTTAAATCTGAGGGCACTAGATATTTCTTCTTGTCCAGTTCGGGAGCTCGTGACCTCGGGGCCCTCTCAACAATGATCTGGTAAAAAAAAAGACCCAAAATTAAATCAGTCATCAGTAGCAGAGTGAATGTGTTGATGTGCCAAAATCTAAACAACAAATGAATTCACACTATTTTACAGTTGAAAAGAATTTAAGAAATCATAGATCTAATACTTTATTTGGAGAACTGGCTTTAGATAAAGGTCTATATGACCGGGATTATCAAATAGTCACTAACAGTAGATGTGCAGATGTCATACTGACCGGTATCTTGTCAGGATGCTTGGCCCGAACTCTCTCTCCCTCTGATCTCCTCACCTCAAGTGGTACTGAGCGCTGGTACTGACTGCCCATCTGAAAACAACACCAGAAAACATGAAGTCTCTCACAATAGCATTATTTAACAAGCAGACAAAGGAGAGAGAGCACTAGCTGACTTCACCAACCAGTGCATTCAGTCAACAAGTGACACTGACCGCACTAAGAGCACATCATTGTTTACTGCAAGATGACATGGAGGCATCTTTTAATCAAGTGTTGTGTAACGGCCTTTTTACTGGTGTGCATTTGTCATCTGTAATTGCATTATTGTTTATACCAGGGCAGTCATTCTGCTTTATTATTTATTGTTACCTATTATTGTCTAAAATGGCTTAAAGGGAGTAGTAAATTATAAAAACTGTTGGCAATTTGAATTTGAAATGATTGACTCAACTGACTGATTGAATCATTTCACCACATGTTCAGCTCCAGTAGCAGATCAGTGAGCAAGACGGTGTTATGGTGTTTTGGGACTGACTGGATTTTTGCATCAATGTAATAAAATATGAATGTGATTAATTATTTAGAGCTGAAACGATTTGTCATGCTGTCATATTTCATAATGAATTTATAAGATTTTCAGTTAAACAGAACACAGATACTTTAAAACTCTGCAAAGCTGTTATAATTCCTACTTTTTAATGTTTCACAGGTTAATCTGAAGATGAAGATGATGAAAAATAACCTTGTGATGCAAAAATGATCATTTCCACTAATATCATCATTAATAAGATGTTTGTTTTTTTACCACATCGTCCAGCCCCCACCCTATGAGAAACAACAATAACCCCCAAATCGACGCAGTGTTTACAACTAGCTGAGGGTGGAGTAAACAACAGCGTCAGTGGGTAGAGAGTGAAGCTCACAATAAAAACACTCATCCACGCAATATCTCCCGGGGTCGGTCACTACTGACGGCCAAGACTGATCGCACTCATCGTGTCTGTTGTTTTTCGGAGTGCAGGTTGTTGTGGTCACTCGGTTCCTCGGTGGGTTGGGTCATCGTGAAATAAGGCCACGTCACTTTCCTCAACAGCACTGAGATCCGCTAACTCGACTCCCAAAAACCAACTACTGCTAACTCAACGTCTCTAATATAATACAACATGCAAAGGGCGGTTTCGACAGCTGTATCTGAAATCAGCTGTTTGTGGTGCTAGCGAGCAACGCCAGTGCTACTAACGGTAATGCTAACAACGGAAGCTAACAGGTCAACAAGACGTTGTGGCGTTCACGTACCTTTGAAAAAGACAAAAACAAGTTTCACAGGAAGAATCCAGATCTACTGCACTGGTCCCTTGTGTCCTCGAGTTTCTGGAAAGAAGGCCCGCGGTGGAAGTTATTAGTTCAAAATACAACCATAACGTACGGGAATGCAGTGTTCCTTCAAAGATGTCGACTGGTCGACTTCTGCTGCACGAAAACAACAACAAACTGCTGCGCCCGCCCACCCTACCTTTGACCAATCAGAGGCGAGAGCGTAGATTGACAGCCGAATGTGTCCACTCAGAGGGAACCGAACGCAGGGTTACAGCGCGTTCATTGGGTGAGCACTGCTGTCCATCTGTTTGTGTTACCGCCCCGTTCTTTCTGAGGGATGGCACATATAACTAATAGCAGCTTTTGGAAACTAGGCCGAGCCCCAGGCCAACAGGGGGTCACGCCTATGGTCCCGCCTTGCTGAGGCTACGTGCGTAGCGTGAGTGCCTTTTTTCCCCCCGTTATCTGCACTGTTCGTTTTGTGCTGTAAACAGTTCTTGCAGATACATGCCCGGTAATTACACAAAACTTACAGAAAAGGCTCGCTGTGGACGTGCAACATTGCTATCGATGTTCAATTTGTCACAGTTTAACCCTTTTTTAAAAATTCCACGATCCCCTCTATTGTAAGGTGTATAGAATAGGAGATTTGCATATATACCTACACCCTTTAACCTCGGGCCGAGTTGGACCCATTCACTCCCATTATAACCAATATTTTTGATATACTGTAATCCTGACATAATGCTTTTCCCATGAATACCTAATAAATCTAAGCCACTACCTTCAAAATACAGGGAAAACAGGTTTTAGGTGTGATGACTAAAACAGCTTATGTGATGGAAATAACCCAGAGCTCACTCCCAATAAGGCATAATTATGTTCGAGAGTCATTTTATTCCACCAATCTGAATTTATTGAAATGTTATCACTGGGTTAGCTGTGCATCTTTGAACTATCTTTCACACTTTGTATGATTCTCTTCAGCTCTCCTGCACGCAGGGGCCAACTTTTCAATAAACATCATTCACTCAACTATTAGATTCTGTTCAATATACACACATAATAATACATTTTCCAAAAATAGCATTTCTTGGAAAAATAGGATTTCCCTTTAAAACTATTAAAACAACAGTTATCGATGTATTACAGCACACACAAAGTTTGTTATGTACTGTAAATAAAAGTTAATAGAGTCACATAGTCCTTTCACATGTCTTTTAGGCAGGCCTCAGCAGTTCATGCATTGCTCTAAGGCAATATATTGTTCCATCAAGTGAAACAAGTGAGATCCAATGCTACGCTGAGATGCATTCTTACAGCATTTCAGTTGCTGTGAACAATTCAACACTACAGCATCACAGAATGTCCATGGTCCATTTTCCAGCAGTTTAAAGCAGACAACTGAGTCTCATCCTTTTTTACGGTGCACACAGGACGTTCCCTCTGTTTAGTCACAGTCTGAGCATCCCAGTCAAACAGCAGCGGTGGCCGTTGTCAGTTTGAGGGCATCTGACAGGTTGCGTTGTCGTACTCTAGAGTTGCTTATGGTTTCCAAATGGGACTCGGGAACCCACCCACGATGCCGATCAGATAGTCTGGTCCCCTCTACCCAATCTGGAAAGAAGAAAGAATCCAACATAAAGTAACTGAAGGCTTATTGCACATTTCACAGGTGAATGGCACTTTCTGCAAGGGAATGATAAGAATGAAAAGATAGTTTGGTGGTCTTACGGTCGCTGCTTTGTTGGTGCACTAATATGATATCAGCTTTATCCAACGACAGCTCATCGGGCTGCTGGGCAACAATAGCTCGGATACACTGCATCTGTGAGAAATCTGTATGGACAAAAGAGGCAAAAAGTCAGACCTACAGTCAAGGATTAATGGGTCAATATTACAAACTATATACTGCTCAGAGAGTGGAGCTACTCTCCTGTTTTTGTTTTTTTACACCTGTAATGGTGAAGCAACATACACCTTTCTCATTCTTATTAGTACATAGATTTTGATTAATTCATGTAATCCCCCAGCTCTGCTTCGCCTAACTTCCAACTGACTTGAGGGTTAATCGGCCAGGTTAATTGAAACCACCTTTAACAACTGTTAAACATCATCATGGAAACCCGAGTTATGTACAGAACCCTGAGAGTTGCCCCCCCCAACAACTACTAATGGTAGTTAGTTGCATTCACATGGGGTCCAAGTTGCTAATTATTAGGCAGAATAAAAAACAAACCAGGCTGTCTCTCTAAGAATCGCAGGTGATAGTGGCTTTGTAGCCAGTTCTTTTTGACATGTGTGGGCATTTGTCACTGTCAGAAATGTCTCATGAGGCTGATATGAATGTTTTATTCCTCACTACGCATTAGATCACTCCCTGTATTCACTTAATGTGCTTCCATGTGACAATGCACCTGTGGTTGAGGATGCAAAATTATATTGAATCTTTAGTGTTCGGAATCTACTCACAAACTCACAATAGAATAACTAAGCAGTGATTTCAGATACAGATTAAGACCAACAAATTAGCACATTGCAACGTCTAAACCAAGCAGCATACTTCACCTTGTGCAGCAGAAAAATCTACTTCAGTATGTGGCCGGGAAAGAGCAGATATCCAACGTAGCTTATCACTCCTAAAGCAGACAAAAAGCAAAGATGGTTGTATATTCTGCAGCTTTTTCCTCTTTGTGATGTGACAACCAACACAGCCATTGTCCCAGTCTCTTACTGTGTGTCAGTCCTCAGGAGCAGGGCTTTGTGTGTCATGTGCAGCCGGAACAGGTTCTTCTGGAGGGAGTGAAGTTTCACACGGCAGTTCTCTGCACGCAGGTCTGACACTGGAGAGTGGTCGATTACTGTGAACCTTCCTCCTCTGGAAGCAGGAGACAGAAAAAAAGATAAATGAAACGGCGGAAGGAAAGACTGTGATGAGATCGAGGGGATGATAAAAGACATGAGGAAAACAGGATGTTGCAAATGGTGATGAGAAAGATGTTTCTAACATTGAATAACATGTTTGTTGACTCACTCTTTTTGTAATGAAAGTAGCAAGTAGTCGTTGAATAGGTGCAAATAAACTTTCCTCTCTGTATCCTTCAGAGAGAAATCCATCAGTTCAGTAACCGGCCCTTCCCGCACCAGCCTCCGAGACTGACTGATCAGAGGAAGAGTCTGTGAAGCACACACACAGAAAAAAAGACAATAATGTTAGCATATTATTATTTTTGAGCAAGAAAGTACTTTTTTCTGATACATTAGAAAGCTAGTAAGTGGACCTTAAGATAATACTGTCACATTATTTTATTTTGTTGTAGATTCCATAAAAATCACTGTAAACTATTAAAAAATTACTCATTAGGGCTCAAAATCATGTTTTCCAATATTGATATATGCACAATTGTTTGTAAAATAATTAAATGTTATATACAGTTAACTCAATCATAAAAAAACATGTATTATGATCAAAACAGCACAATGTGATCCCATTGATTTTCTTCCATCCTTTATAGTCATTACTTACCCTGCACTCAAAGTCCACCTTAGCACTGAGAGACACCAGGGACTCAATGCTTTTCATCTGAGTGATGCTGTCGTTACTCTCTTGAATCAGCTAAAGGAGAAAGGAAGAAAAGAAGGTTTATCATCAGGGGAGATATCCAGGATATTATTAAGCAATATTAAAATATTGCAATCCTACATTAATGTACAGTGAAAAGGGAATGTTGCTGTACCTTTTCCAGAAGTTTCAAAGATTTGATGGCCTGAGTCGCCTCTGCAGTACCAGGAGTTGTTCTCTTTACAATGTTCTGGACAGAAACAGCATGTGTGTGTTAAAGTGAGATAACGGGTGCAGGATCTAACATGTTGTGAACCATTAACTCTTGCTGTTTTGTTGGAAAAGACACACACACACACACACACACACCTGGACCAGCAGCTTAATTCTTGTGATCCTTTGGAAAGGAAGGACAAGGAAGGAACGAAGAGGAAGCCTCTGACAAACAGGACTCCTCTCCAATTTATCTACAATCCGCTTGAACCCTGGATTTTCATTCCTGAAATAAAAAGAGAAATTAAATGCATGGACAGATAAAAAGAATGCAGGCAATAGTTTCAAAGTTTTCATGAACTGGAAATAATTTTCACTGCTTAAAATGTGTTAGATGTTAGTGTCAGAGAGAGTATATGGCGCTGTGGTCTTCACTGGGTCTTTTACCAAACCTTCAATAAAAGATCCAGTCGAGAAAACACAAAAGCTTGACTGAAGGACTTACATGAGTCTCTGGTAGGTGGCATCCTGGTATGACTGGTTGGTGAGGTAGGGCACGTAAACCATTTTGAAGCGCTGACAGTGCCGAGCGATGATATCACACACGGTAAAGTGCATGATGTCTGATTCCACTCTCTCTTCCAGCTTTGATAGAAAACTAAAACAAAAATCACAAAGAATTCTTTTAAGCTTACATTTCTCCCATAGATTTGTAACACAGATTGGTTTGATAATCACTTAATGTATGTTTCATGTATGATCTAAAAGATTCAGCCCGATAAATATGTTTAAATGTAAACTTGGTTCAGACAGATAAAGAACTTTTAATGTTTAATGTTCTAAGTAATGTTTAACATTTCTGACCTGTGGCTGATGGCACGAACATCTGCCAGCCGGGAAAACAGCCAGTTCCTGTCCTGAGTAGTCAACAGCGCCCCCAGCTGTTTGGACTTGACAAAGTGTTCAACAACAATGTCCAAACTCCTGCAGTAGGAGGCCTCTGAGGTCACCACCTCAAATCTCACCTAAAATGAAAAAACAAAGAGAAATACATGAGAAAAGATAAAAACACTGAGCAAGAGACTGCTAGATTCTAACTAATAATCACAAGGTTGTCATTTCTCTAGGTGCTGCGGCATTTTGACATGGATGTGACTGAGGAAGATTACTCAATCAGTAGTAGTATTCCATCTCAGACACATGTATGCCAAGTTTATAGGGAGGGAAATACCCACAGTACCCAAGAAACATGTCTAGTGGATCAAGGGGGGTATTCTGGGATGAGGCAATGTGTGATTTTAATAGTTAGACGTGTGAGCTAATCACAGTGAAAAGATGACTCATGTAAGTCAAGCCATTTCCCTGAAAGTCATCAACAACAGAGGAGCTGCTGCTGTGAAATTACGCCTAAAACTGACAAGTGGTAAATAAACATGAGGAGAAGAAGAATCACTAAATCTGTAACTAATCCTTGTTTTCAATTTCAATCACATAAATTAAGCTGAAGAAAAAATTAAAGATAACTGTCCCACATTTAATTGTCCATAGGTTTCTCCTGAATTTTACAGAGGCAACAATGTTGTGCCAGTACCTTCAGAAAATTAAGCTCAAACCTTCCCACTGACTCTTCTTTATAAATGGAACACCTTTAGCTAAACTAAACAGGATCACACATGCTGTATGAAGGAGGTGACGCTGTAGAAAAAGTGAATGATTAATAGGCATTTAACTGGAGGATTCTCCTGAATTTCACTGAGGTAGGAATGTTGTGTCAGTAACCTTCCTAAGAAGTGCAAATGTATGAGGGATTCACTCAGTGTGAAGGTTTGCGTGCCATTCACTGAAAAGTCACTGGAATTTATTCAGGCATGGTTTATTACATTCGAAGGAATCACAGGGCAAAGACTCTTCTTCTGTTACCTCCTGTAGTCGCCTCTGGTCCTCTGTGAGCTCTTCCAGCTCAACACTGTTCCTGACCCCCGGCAGCTCCCGCCACAGTGCAGCTGACTGTCTGAGAGAGATGGATAGACGTGGGGAGGAAGGCCTGCCTTCACTCTTGGGGGGCTCAGGGAGAGGCAAGCTTTTGACACTGTTGATGGAGCCTGTGTGGGACAAGGAGTGGGGGTGCGGGACAGGAGGTAGGGGAGGAAGAGGTCTGCGGGCAGGAGGAGGTGAAGGAGCAGGAGAAGGGGCAGTGTCCTCGCACAAAGACGTGACTTCGGAGCGAGCCTGGCGCAGGATCTCAAAGTTCTGAGCGGCCTCGCTGTACTGCTGGTAGAGCTGTGCAGCATCTGCGAAAAAAAGAGAAGAAGCGAGACAGAAAAAGAAAGACAGCAGAAGAGAGGAGGGAGCAACAGAAAAAGCAGGTTGAAAAATACAGGAAGCAAAGAAAAGAAGACAGATAGAGACAGAAACAATGTTAGCCAAGAGGACTTGTTTGCATTTGACATTCCTTTTACACATACTTGTCGGAATGCAAAGTCAAAGCGGCAGCTGTTTTCCCCTCAAGTTAGGAGATATGAATGCTTGCAGAAACCTGTCTGTGGCTTGCACATACCCACTTATATACAGCACATGCTCACACACACTCCTGCCCCATTTCTCGTAATATCCATGTGAATCACAGGTCAAGGACCTTTTTAGGTTGTTTAAAACACTATTTTTTAAATGGTGTGAGCCAACAGTAAACTGCACACAGATATCCTTGCATTTGTGTATTTCATTTAAATTCTGAGTCGACATGTACTAAGAAAGCGATAAGCAGTTAGTGGGCCTGTGTTAACACGGAGATGAATTACACATACAGAAAGGAAATGCCCAACTACGTCATGTTTTTCCCGACCACAGCCATAAACGATATTATCTGAACACACGTCACTGTGTCGCCTACATAGCCTTTTTCAACAAATCAACCCTAATTTATTACAAAACAAAGCTGAAAGTGATAACAATATTTACTCAAATTGTAAAATAAATCATGTACAGCAACACATTTCTGGCTAAAGACTATTAGGCACAAATATTATAAGGTTTTAAATATTTAATATATTAAAATATATTTTAAGGTGCATGACCTGAACGAAGCAAAAATAAAAGGCAGAACAGAGATACTCACTGAAAAACCTTGAGTTCCTTTTCTGTCTGTCAATTGTTTCCAAAACATTCCTACAGTGCCAAGAAAGAGTCACAACAATTTATTTATAACTGTGAAGATTGTAAAATAAAACAGTTGACTAAAGCTGTCTAAAACAGCTTTTTTTGTGGAACATTTGCATTGAATAAAGAGGAAAACAGGAGTAATTCAAAATTTCGGTAACCTTGCTGACACTACAGACTATACTGACACTGTAGACACTGTGTGTGTGTGTATATATATATATATATATATATACACACACACACACACACACACACACACACACACACACACACACACACACACACACACATACAATAATGCCATAAACATTTCCTTCCAAGTGTTTAAACCATTACAGTTTTGAATCTCAGGGACACACCGCTTGTGTATGTCAACATGTGGTATTGTATCACAATCAAATTTATCATGTTGTGCATGATTGTTGTCACTCACCTCAGCTCCACTTCTCCCCAGCTTTTGCTCCGATCGTCCTCATCATCTGGAATAAAAAAGAATCCATTCGTCGAAACATGATACAACAGCATACCTATCCTTATGTTCTGATTAATTTACTATAAACTACAGTCAACTGTTCAAATGAATGAAGAACTTAATAAAAAACTAAATTCAAAAACACACGTGGATGAATAAATTAATAAATAAAAAAATAAAAAAAGTTAATTTAGTAACCCTGCATTACAGAAAAGATTAGTGTGTTTCCAAAACTCATGCTTCTTGTGTTATGTCTTAAATCCGGATGAACCCAAGCCTTTTAGCTCATGCTTGTGGTTTTCCCTTGCTTTCTCCTCCTCCGCTTATCTCCACCCACTACCTGTAATGACAACACTGTGACGCACTTTCCAGTTTAAGGTATTGTGGTGTGTTCGGATAAGTGCACAGATAATGGCCTATTAGCAGATGTCTGCCTTAGTTTAGGTTCTGTGATTGATATAACAACAAATGATGCAATTATGAAACTAAGGCTGCAGAGGAAATGACTAGAAGATTATCTGTGATTAAGTTGCGTGTGTGCAAAACGCTGACTTGGTTTTAATCGGTGACTCCCCTAACGGCAGTCTGGTCTATAATATGCCAGTCTGATTAGATGAAATTTTTTTTTTTTAAATTGGCAATGCTGATGATGATTGATAATAAACTAGAAAGAAGTTAAACGTAGAAGAAGGGCTATTTATGTGGCTTTCTGAGCAGATAATCAGCGTCTCCATCCTCCATCTTCTCTCGTTACCTGTTGTAGAGAATATTCTGGTTCTGCGGTCCCTTCCAACACCTTCCGCTTCTTCTGCTTCTACAAGCTCTCCTTTTCTTCTTTCAGTAGTTTTACGGATTCCCCTTCTCCGCAATCGAGCCTCGGGGCCCAAATTTCGGAAACTGCAGCTGCTCGTCAGTGTCCTCTCTTCTATTTTCCTTTCTCCCTCTCTGCTATCCACCTCAGTACTCCCCTCTCCCTCCCTCACCTTTCCCACCTCCTCTCCAGTACCCCTCTCTTCAGGGTCCTCTTCCTGCCTTTCTTCTTCGCTTTCACCCATTCTGTCTTCCACCTCCTGGCCCTCAGCCTCTCTAGAGGGAATGAGGAGCTCAGGCTCAGTTTCATAATTCAGAATGGGGCAGCTGTTAGGCTTGTACAGCGTGTTGCTCACAGATAAATACATCTCAACTTCCTTCACTCTACTTGCTTCTTTTTCCTTTTCTAATAAATTAACCTCATCACCGGCCTCTTCGCTAATTTTCACCTCTCTATCTGCCTTTTCTAAAACGCGATACGAAGGCTCTGTCTCTTTGTCCATACTCTGATCCTCCTTCCCTTCTGTGTCTAGCAGTGTGTCAGCATGAGTGTATGTCTGTGTGTCACCATGCATAGCTGCGCACTGGTCAGCATGCATGTCGGCTTGGCTCAGCCCCATACCTCTCAATCCCTCCACCTCCAACGGCTCTTCTTCCTCCAGCTCTGGCTCTGAGTGCCGTTCGTCCATTGTCAGTGTAACAACTGGCATCTCTGCGGTCTCTTGTGCAGCCACTTCCTGTTGTTTGTCGTTCTCGATCGTTGTCTCGGACTGGTTGACCCCTTGGTCTCCTGGTATCTCTGCGTTAGGTTCATCTGAAAACTGTTCTTCTGAGCGTCCCAGAATCTCCCGCACCACATTTTTGGCCCATTTAAGGTGTGGGGCTTGGGAATGACGCTTGGGCTCGTCAGACATGCTCCATGCCCCGCTCATTCGGATCCGGATGGCCTCCACCTCTTCTGGGCTCATTGCTCCGGTGTTAATCCCTTCCAAGATGGGTTGAATTTGTTCAAAATGTACTTGAGAACAAACATCACCATAGGGATTAACGGGGACTGACAAAGGTCGCTCACTCTCTCTTTCCACCCCTTCTTTATTTTTCTCTCTCCACTCTATCAGGAGTTTTTCAGTCTGTGAGTCTCTTTTTACTGGTCCTATTTCAGCATACGGGTGCTCCTTCTTGCGCCTTATTCTCTCTCCAGTCTGTGTGTTTTGAAGCTCTGGTGACACTCTGTATCTCATATCCACCTCAGTTGTTTCTCCCGTGGCTGCCCTTTCCTCTCTTGGCATGTTACACCCACTCCTGCCCTCTGTGTCCTGGTGGTTGATGGTCGGGTATTCATCCTCTCTACTTGATGTCAGATGCAGGTCATGCTGAGGTTGCTGTGTGCCGTCATCACTACAATGATGACAACTTTCTAAATTTGGGTTCTCACTTTCCACACCCTTTGCCTGATCAACTTGTGACGGTGACATCTGTCCGGGTTTTGACCGAGGCAAAGTTTGCCCAATCACACAGAAGACGTACTTTGGTTGCTTTTCCCTCCCCTGTTCGTCTTCATCAACCGTCTCTTCCTTTCCCATTATCCATTCCTCTTCCCTCTGCTCGTCTCCCTCATGCTCCTTGATGGCAACAGGTGAGGGGCCATCACATGAAACTTCACCTTCCCAGAACTCCTGACAGTCCTCAAACTTTTCATCTTCCTCTCTTTCGTCCTCCTCGTCTCCGCCGCTGGACAGAGTCACAAAGCCGTCCTCTCCTGACAGCATTCTGTCTCTCTCTTGCTTCCACCCTGAGTCACTTCCTCCTTCGCTCTCTGAGCGGGCCCAATAATCGCTCCCACCCTGTTCCTCTCTGTCACTCTCTTCTGTGTTATCTGTCACGTTCTCCCCCTCTGCATCCCTCCGCCAGCTTCCCTCTATCCCTCCATCTGTGTCAGACAGATGTTCCTTCCCTCCCTTATCTATTTCTCTCCAGACTTCACCCACCTCCTCTCCATCTACACTTACACCCTCCGATTCCCTCTCTAGAGCCCCCTTGTTCTCATTTCTCCCTCCATGCCTTCCTCTGTAACTGCTATGGTCCAAATACCTCTCATCTGGTTCCTCTTTTATTCTCCGCCCCCCTCTTACCCACTCAGCCTGTGACTCCATACTCCTCTCTTGTTCTCTCCTCCGCTCTTTCTCCCTTGTGTGTCTGTCTCTGTCTACAAATTCTTCTTTACTATTCTTGCCCCTCTGTGGCTCTAACCACATCCTTTTCTGCTCTGGCACTCTGCCTGCTGTCTCTCCTTTTCTTCTCTCCTGTCTCTCACTTCTTTTTTGCTCCCTTTGACTTCTTTCAGCAGCTCTTTCTGGATCTGTCTGTTCATCTACATCTCTGTCACTTTCAGTGGTGCTCCACTCTCCACTGCTCTGGGCTCGTGGCGGCACCCTGGGAGCTGTGTCGCTCTGGGATCTGCTGCCTCTGGCTGTGGTATCATCCCACCTTGGATCTTCCTGTCTTTCCTTTGTTTCTCTGCCTCTCCTCTGCTCATACTCTCTGTATCTGTCACCCTCTCTCCTATCATCCTTCACGTCTCTCACACGGTCCTTCCATCTTGCTCCCTCCCTGTCTGGCTCCCTTGCTCCCCTCCTGTCAGCCTCTCTGTACCTCTCCCTATCCTTCTCTACTCCCCTCCTCCTGGATCGATCCACTTCTCTCTCTCTGTCCCTGTCTCTGTATCTCTCCCTTTCCTCTTCCCGGTATCCTTGCCTATCTCGATGTCTCTCCCTCTCTGTTTTGCCTGTGGTGTCCCCTTCACTTCTGCTGTGTTGATATGTCAACTCCTCCCTCTCTCTGTCCCTCACTCTCTCCCTCCTGATCTCCCTCTCGTCGCTGTCTCCCTCACTCCTGGTGTCCCTCCTTCCCTCTCTCCTTTGTGCCTTTTCCCTGTCCTTCCTATCTAAGTAGATTTCTCTGTCTCTTCTTCTGTGTGGAGAAGACACCCTGGCCTCAATGTTTCCCATGTTAGGCCTCGGCTTCTCTCTCCTTCTAGCATTATCTCTCTCTCTTCTGTCCAATGAATCACACCTTCTCCTGTCCTGAAAATCAACATCAAACTCATATCTTTCCCTCTGACGCGATTTCTCGTCTTCAACAGGTCTTCGTCCAGTGTTTTGCCCTTCTTCCTTTGCCCTGATTCGGATCTCATCCCTTTCCCTCTCTCTGTAAATCTCTCTGTGCCGTACTCGATCTCTTTCTCTCTCCCAGTCGTCTGCCTCTACTCTTTTCGGCCTATCTCTTGGTCTCCTTTCCCTTCTCTCTTCATCTGTCTCAGCGGTGGCGGTCATTCTTCTGCCATGATCTGCACTGTTTTTTCTCATTCTAGGAAATGTGTCACCTTTCTTCATCCCCCTCTCCACTTCTGTCTCAGCAGCTTTCTCTACATTTGACAGCGGCCTCCCATTTCGGCTCCTGTCATCTTCTTGCCTCCTTTCTCTCTCCCTCCACTCTCTTTCTCCCTCTCTTGGCCGGGGTGCAGGAGCTCTGTCTCTTTCCTTGTATCTCTCCCGTGAGTCCACATCTTTGTATCTTGCTTTGTCCCTCATTTTCTCTGTTTCTCTTTCTCTCCTCCACTCTTCCTCGCGGTTGCTGTCTCTCACTTTCTCCGACTGGGCAGTCATTGCTGGCCTGGGACTTGGATCCCGGGAGATTTTTCCACCTGGCTGAAGTTTGCGGTCAGATGTGTTTATGTTAGATAAAGTGTCAAAAAGGGTGCAGCTGGGCCTTTTGGTCCCCATAGTATCATAATTTGAAGAACCTAAAAGACAGTAACACCCAACATCATCAGTTAGGAATCAAACAATTTTCAGGGACAAATCATATGCAGGTCAAATTAGACAGAATGAAAGGGCTCTGCACACTTTTACATATTTAGTTAATGTCATAGAGTTGAGTATGAATACTATAGGAAAACTATATTTCACTAATGTTACTGTTATCTTTGAAAAATCATAATAGCTGCAACAATTCAGCTGTGTCTTCAGTCAGTTATTTTATTTAGTCAGGACAATAAATTGCTGCACTTGGAGCTAAAAGCTGTGTGATACTTTAAGCCAGTGTGGTTGTATAGTAATGTTACACTCGAAAAGAAACATGCAGGCCTAAGAAAAGGTGACACCCTCATACAGTTCTCTAAGAATGCAGCACAGACCTGCAAACACTGCATACCAAACAACGTCTTTCAGAAAGTGAGGGCCTGTAACACATAGGCACGGCATGTAACATGTAAACCACAACTAAACTAGACCTAATCTGTGTCCAGAGCAGTAGCAATTTACAGAAGTGTTCATCTGAAATCCATGAAAAAATAGTAAAGCAACTCACCTGAATGTAGTATCCTGGGGAGATCTGCGGTCTTCCCCAATTTCAGCTCAGCTCAAAAGCATGCTATTGCACAACACATAAGAATTCATTCCTTGTATTCACATTGTCTAAGTGACACAACAAATGTCCTCCTTTTCTACAAATAAATAAACCATTACCCTTTTCTATCAAAAAAATCTATCAATCTAAGTCTTGTGAAAAACGTAATGTTTACGCCTGAACTTTTCCCTCTTGCTGCTTCTCTCTCTCTCTCTCTCTCTGTGTGTGTCTCTCCCCTCCTTCCTCAAATTCCCAAACAAGTCTCAACAGATTGACACTTATCTTTCCCCTCCTCCTTCTCTCTGTCTTGTCCTCTCACTCGCTATTGCTGTACAGGGAGCTCTCCAATAAATCAAACTAAAGTCTGCCTCCTTCTTCAGTTCTTTTCTCTCCACTTTACTGCCAACGTGATTGCCTGTGTGGACCCCCCCTGGCAAAGAAAAACACATAACTCTCTCCTCTCTCCTGCCCCATTCTTCTCTCACGAAACACAGGAAGTGCACCTCCTTGGTGTCTCTGTCTTGGAGCAGCGATTGGTTGATATGGAGTGGCCGGGTGTGTCTGCATAACACACACAGCCAGGTAAGGTAAAGGCTGTGATAAGGCAAGGGAGAGTGGGGGGAGGGGAACGGAGAGTTAAGATTGAGAGCACACACGCTGGTGGAGGACTCACTGAGGCCTATAAAAACTTCCCTACATTCCCCTAAGAGGTAGTAAAAAATAGAAAGAAAGGGAAACACAAACTCTTATGATTAAAAAAAAACAAGATTAAACAATGAGAGAGAAGAAACAAGGGAGAGGAATTACAGGAGTGATCTGTGAATGATTTGTTTAACAATGACTGTTTTACTGTGTTGATTGAATTCCAGACTGATGTGAGATGAAAGGTCTATGTCATTAACATTACCAAATAAAGGCAATGAGACCAAACTGTGAGCACTGCATTAGCACTACTCAGGTTTTACTTCACTTTGCCATCACTTAATTACTTACATTTACACATTTTCTCATTCAGATTTCTACTTCTATTTCTTTCTAAGGACACCTAGCTACAACTAATGGAGTCTGATAAAACACAGCTGCAGCTCTATCCTACTTTTAGGATTGTTCAGTTACTGACATTAATTAAAATTTCTGGATATTCTGTAGACTTTAGTTTGTGCTGTTGAATTGTATTGCATTATATTTCCACTCCATCTATATCAATAAGAGCTTCAGTTTAGCTATGAGTAGACTGGCTGACTATAACTATGTGTATATGGCGACTCATTGTTTAAAGGAATAGTTTTGTAATAACATTTTGGGAAATACACTTATTTGCTTTCTTGCTGAGAAATAGATGAGAAAATTGACACCACTCTTATGTCTGGTAAATATGAAGCTACAGCCAGCAGTTGGTTAACTTAGCTTAGCATAAAGGCTGGAAACAGGAGCAGTCTGGTTCTAGCCAAAGGAGACAAAATCCGCCTGTTAATCACAATACAAACTAAACTGAATTAAAATGGATTACTACTCATGACTACTCACTTTTAATCTCATCATTTTAAACAGTTCTTTTAGAAATTGCAAATGTGATTCTGATTAGAAGAATGGGGCAGGTAAATTAATCCGATCAAAGTCCTAACAGGTGAAAGGTCATATTGTATTCAGGTTTTTGATGATAGTTCGGAAGGATGACGAACAGACTACTGAACAAGCTTGGTATATCCATGTGTTGTTGCTAGTGCTGATGCAATTGACACAGTACTCTACTGTCTAAGGCCAACCCGCCTAACATTTCATTCATACCAGCAAAATGTTCTACACAAATAGTTTTCCACATACTCAAATACACACATATATTTTATAAGAACATTATTTTAACAACAGATCTCTCCTTCAAGAATGGCATTATATATCTTTATTGTAGCACCATTATTTGACTTCATAGATAGTTGATTGCATATTATCATGCAATTTCAGTGACAAAATACACTCAGTTGCCACCCTTGGCAGGTAATTTAATACACAAAAAACAAACTAATGAAGTGTAATACCACCATGATGAAGATTATGATTTTTTGTTTTTGTTAGGGAGGGTTTTAGAGAGGTGTTGAATCAACTTTATGGTCAGTTTGGAGGCTTTAGTTTAGTTTAGTCTGGTTAGAGGGAAATTAAATCACAGCCATATGAAGTCAAGGATTACATAAGAACAAGACGTACTATGGTCCTTAAGGAGAGATAAAGGGGTTCTGGTAATTAGGTGACATCATAATATACAAATAAAATCCCCCAAAGTCTAACAGCCATAAATAAACTATAATAAAAATGACCTGGATAATATGACTTGAAAAATCTCCTTTAACTTCACTCTTACCATGAGCCATAATTTGACCTTTTATTATTTTTTTTAAATATGGTGGTTACCTGACTTGCAGAAAGTACAGACATTCATCCTCCTGTAGCGCCACCAGCAAGTCAAAACGTTTCGGTTATATGGATTATTTAGTAGAGACATTCATGATCCCCAGACAATGTCTTTGGTGAACTCCTGATGTTTCCTCTCTGTTCTTGGCCAATTATGTGGTAAGAGTTTTATTGGTATACTTTTTTTTTTAATGAAAAAAAAAAAAATCTGTGTTATCTCTTTAAATATAACATATTAAAAGTCTGTCTGGATCTTATAAAATAAAAAATAAAACAATTAAATAGAAGTAGTAGTTGCTGCAGTGTTGACAGAGGTACACATCATCAAGAGGCACACAAACAAACTCTTAGACATCCCATATATGAGCTTTTCCGCTTTCAGCTCAACAGTTAATAAATAAATAAATAAATAAATAAATAAATAAATAAAAGGCCCGTGGTCAGCTGATGGGGGGTTTTGGGATTCAGACCCGCTGATTGGTCGCCTCGTTACGACGGTCAGTCACATGCGTGTGTGTGTGTTTAGTTTCACTTCCGCACTCCGCTAACGTCTGTAGCATGTTAGCTTCTTGGAAGCCACTTCACACATTTTGAGAAGAAAGCGCGTTTATTATCCAGCACCGATAAGCGTGCAGCTTCATTTAAAGCCGTGACTACGTGCACATTTACTTTACTTTCCACCTGCAACAAGAAAACAGCAGCTTTGTTGTTGAATACATAAAACCAGGAAGCGACGTTAGCGTGAGGAAGCTCCCTACATCATCCACTGGACCACATTGTACAAACTACTGTCAGTGTGTCCGGTTAAACTGGACCTAACAAAGAAGCTTCTCCAACTCGTTTAAAGCAGAAGGAGTCATGAAGGTAGGTGCGCAAAGCACCCAAAAGTTCAACTCTTGTAAAGCTTTTATTTATTTATTTTAAACTGTGGAAACTTATTGCCTCATGCGGGGATGAACAGACATTTTGCATTCACATTATTCACATATTTCGGGAAGGCTTTAAATATGTGGTCGCACAACTTATCTTCCCAGTTACACGATAAGGATCGTATTCTGGTTGTCTGTTTCTAGATGTTATTATCCTCTCCTTAGATAAGATAAAGTAGGTTTTTTTTCCAGAACATGGAGAGTTTCCTCCTGGTTTTTTTTTGGTTGAGGAAGCAGATAGATGAGCATGCTGAAGTTGGTTGTTGGTGAACAGGAGGTCTGTAATTTAAAATCCCACCACTTAATTCAAATGATTTCAAATAGTAGTGGACCATATGGGTGCAATCTTCCCTCTTGGTGTATGTAATATACTGACGTGTTGTATTTACTGGAAAGTCAATTGAGGAACAATTTATGGATTAAATAAATCATGCAAAAATGTTAACAAACATAAAATCTAACATTACCATGAAGCAGTCATGTTTATTAATTTGCAGCTTTGAACAGCAGCACATCTTTTGCATGTTTTGATTGAAGTGATTAATCTGTTGATCACCTATCTTCTGTTCATTTCCTTATTGATTAATCAGCTGCTCCTTTCAGTACCACCATGTTTATAGAACTTATACATACATATAACATTTATAAACGGTATGGAAAAACCTTTGATTGTATACAGTATGTCTATATATTGTCTAGCCCTAATTTCAAATGAATAGTATGTCATTGTTTTTGTTGGTTTTTTACCAGGAGGTGAACAGTCGAAGTGGAGGGTCCTTCCTGGTGTGCACCCTGGCTGTTCAGCTGGTCCTGTGTTGGAGTGAGGTGTACACCAGTGACATCACCAAGCGCTGTGGACTGGTCTCTGAGTCTAAGTCTGAACGGACAATCCTCGAACGACTCGAGCCACTCGCCCATAAGAAGTAACAAGTGACTCAATTGTGTACCTGCACTTTCAGTGTCATCGGTTGTTTTTGTGTTGCCTGTTTTCAATCAAAAATCACTTCTAATCACCACGTCTGCCTCCCATATTACTAATTATTTGTTTGTATTTGTTCTCATGTTAACAGCTTTTCAGTAGTGACCAAGGGCAAAACAGATAGTTACACATATACGTTCCAGTTGTGTGGGGAAGCAGCGGGCTTTGCAGAAGCTGGGGTTGTCCAGGTGGACAACAGTAATCCAAGTAAACCAACAATTATTGGCAGGTTCAATGCAACACGGGCCTTTGGAGGAAGTAAGTGTCTGCAAAATATAATAATTTTATCCTGATTTTAAGTTGTTTTAGGCAAACTATGAGCATGATAAACCCAAACTGTTTATTGTTCATTCTTGAATTAACCCTGAACATGAGTCTAACCATTTTAATAATGTGCTTTAGATCAGTATCGTCTCTTCTATTTTTACACACTACTTCCTTTGCAGGTGACTGGGTGATGTTGATCTACGAAAAGGGCGACGCATACGATGGCCACTGCTCCAAAGAAAAGAGGAAAGCCATTGTCATGATCTCTTGCGACAGTAAAAAAGTCATGGTAAGATCACTAGACTTGAGAGAAGAAATGTTAACTTACCATGTGTTCAGACCAGAATTGGCGCTGTGTTGAAATAATAATAATAATAATAATGCAAGGGGCTGTGTTGGTGGGGGCGCATTGCTTTGGGTACAGGTGTGAAGATAACCTATTATCTTGAAACACACACCACCACGTTATGCTTCGGCTTGATGATTGTGAGGTAAACCACAGAGAAAACATGACCTAACTGAACATGGCCTGATGTAGTCTTGCACCCTTTTCTCCTTCTCTTAGTGTGTGTTGCCTTGTATTTTTACCTTTTGTCTCACTCCATCTCACTTCCAGGGCGAGCTGGAGGTGGTGCTGGAGGACAGGGACAGGGATCACGACTGTTTCTACCTGTTTGAGCTGGACTCCAGCGCAGTGTGCCCAGTTGTTCCGTCCCAGCTCAGCACTGGCTCCATAATAGTCATCATGTACGTAAAGACAGTCTGTAAAGACACAAACAGAATCAACATAATATATTATATAATAATAATAATAATGATATAATATTATAGATTATCAGTGATCATAATTCCTCTCTTCTTTCAGTGGGCTCTGTCTTCTGGCTGTTTACCTCATTGGAGGTTTCCTCTACCAGCGACTGATTGTTGGAGCCAAAGGGATGGAACAATTCCCAAATTATGCTTTTTGGGTGGAGGTCGGCAATCTGACAGCGGTAAGCCTCGAGCAAATAATAAATAATGTCATTAAAGGTCCATTATGTAACATTTAGGAGGATCTATTGGCAGAAATATAATGTGTAATATTTATAGGTATGTTTTCATAAGTTTATAAGCACATGAATGTAGGATGTGTAGAATGTGTTGTGTTAGCTTAGAATGAGCTGTTTTTATCTACAGAGGTCACCTTCCTTGGAGGCCTTCATATTGAACCCCCATGTTTCTACAGTAGCCATATTAGACAAACCAAACACTGCCTGTTAATGGAGACCTTTCTGTTTTTTTTTCATGGGTTTCATAGCCACCAACTTTACCACTAGATGCCTCTTAATCCTTCACACTGGACCTTTTTAAAAGATCCTGTTTTTAAGGGAAATTGATTACACCACCGACCCCCTCCTTTCCCTTACAGGATGGGTGTGACTTTGTGTGCCGGTCACGAAATCGCGAGGAAGCCCCTGCGTACAGAGGAGTGGCTGCAGAACCATTAGAAGATGAGCCAGAGGAGAGAGATGACCACTTACTACCTATGTGACCTCAAAATGACAGAAATGGGACAGAAAGTTTCACTGTGTGACACAGTTTACTCTTTCACAGGTTAGATGACGTTGCTGTTAGACACAAGTCTTGTTTTTCATGTGCTGGTTTAGTTTAGGACCTGTTGACACTTTGTGTGTTTACTCCAGACTTGTGCCTAGGGCAACTACTGCAGGATCTGCTTGTTACTAAAGAGAGACAGACCTGTCTCCTCTCCCTACCCCATGCATTTCATTCAGCTGTTTGATTTCAAACAAATGAGGGACTCATTCGAGATTACAAAATGAAAATAAACAGTGACAGTTTTTTTCCATGGAAATCTGGTACAAAGGGGAGAAGTTAAGAAGTTGGATTTCAACATGATTTAAACTTAATGACATACTGCTCATATTTTTCTGCTCCGCTAATGATTGATTGTTGTTTTGAAGTTGGTGCATCCAGCCGTTCTTCCCGGGGTCTTGGTTATGCACTGGAAAGTTACAAAACACACAAGTGCTTTTTCTTGTGTCATCTGGCTTTAATCAGTTTATGTTTTGAAAGTTAGAGACATAATATGAGAATGTAAATGTTTAATTTTAAGTACTGTCACCATGCTTTCAGCCTTCCTACACAAGTATAAATCACTGCAAAACACCATAGCTTCACATAGCTACCATAGCTTCTATATCAATGCTAATATCTCCCTAAACTGGTTGGTATTACCAGCTGCCTGACTGAAACCTGTGCTTGACAGTTATAACTAAACAGCATCTTTTTTTGATGAGAAAGGTTAACAATGCTATTAAATTGATAAACTTACAAATTTGGTATCTGAAGCAAAGCATCCTACGGAAATAAAATGTTTTATTAGATCTCAGATCACTAATTTCTGTACATTAATGCTAATATCTAGTGATGTGCAGTTAGAATAGATTTATTTATGAATTCTGCAAATCATAATTTATGATTTCAAAATGGTATGGTGTATATATATGTAGTATATGTACTTTTCATATAATATGCCATACATTCACAGTAAAAGACCAATGTTCATAATCGCATTAAACTATTTAATAAAAATTATTAATCAGTAAACTGATCTGTCATGATAAAACTGACCCAAACACCAGATACATTGCTAGACAAGAGTAGGTTGTACTTGTCTTTGACCAAATATTCAGGCTTCATTCCTGATACACAGCTTCTTTAGGAGGACAGAGCAACAGTGAAAGCACTTCATTTTCTATACACCATGTATCAATATGTTACGGTTGTAAAGATGTTACTGCTCTGAGGATATCAATAATGAGGTTTGTAATATTTTTAGAAATTTCAAATCTTTGTTAGGAAGTTTAAGTTGTGAATCAAGATACTATATTATTGTCAGTGTGAGCACTTCTGTATGTTTGTGGTTTGTTTCTATAACTTCCGTTTTGTGTTTAATACAGCTGACATTTCTTTGCTTAGCTTGGTGAATCAGCTGCTGGAAAACGATCTGGTGGAACTGGTTACGCCTGTGGTTGTAGTGAACTGAACACCTGCTAGATCAATACAATATAGCCTGTTTGGTAAAAGGATGATTTCAAGCCACAAACCTTTTTTGTTTGTTTTCTGATTCCATCAAAAATAAAATATGAAAGAAGTTAATGTACCATTGTAGTGTTGAACTCCGTACACATCCAAGTGCACTAACCTTTGGAGATTTGATGAGTTTTAAAAGGTTTTCATAATGCACAACACATAATAATAATAATAATTAATAATTATTATTATTATTATTATTATTATTTTAATGAACTTAATGACTAAGATCTTTGTTAATGTTGAGTTGTGTTTTGACCATAAACTTCTTGTGTTTGAGGTTTTAGGTTTCAGGTTTGATCAGTGGTTTTTTCCGAGCCTGAAAGCTAAACGAAAACAAAACTAATTTACCAAGATGACAATTTCCATACAATAGGAAAGAAACATTGGTATGACTAATAAAAATATTAAAATGCACTTGTCTTCCACCAAACAAAAAATGAAACTATTCCCACGACTCATTTAGTGTACTGAGTCTTTCATTTGATTGAAACGTCACAAAAGTGAGATAAAAATTTAAAAAAAAGTCAAGGGCAAACTTGCAGTCTTTTGGTCAAGCAGCATCCTCTGTTAAATGTAAATAAATATAATACTTGTATGGTTGTAAGGGCTTGGAGGTTAAAATAGATCCTGCTGATGTGAGGAAGAGCTGAAATTATGCTGTGAAATTAGTTGTCATGTGGTTTAGAAAACTTTAATTTATTCTGGTAGCTTTGCCAGAGTACTGTCCCTAACAGGCTTCCCTCACCTCTGAGAATACATATAAAACTCTGGATTTCAGGGGCACATATTTCAATAGATTTAAAACTTTTGACATTACTAAACTCCTCTCCAAATTGCATCCTCACTGTCCTCTACTGCCACCTACTGAGCCCCAGCATGTACTGTTCAACATATCATTACAGTCATCACCAAGAGCCAGAGGACTATTTCATAAACCTTTTATTGGTAAACTGCAAAACTACTGAGAAGACTCTTGCATTTACAGACTGTGCGTATGAACGTTTGACACACAAATCCAGGATTGATATCATATTTTCTTCCCGGAATTTGTAATGATGAAGGTGTGGCTGTCTTAGACAATGTAAACTCACACCTTTTAACTAAATGCATATTAAAACTGTATTCATTAAAAAAGGTTTTAATAGATTTTTAAAACCACACTGGTCCTTTAAAGCTAGTCCAATAGATAGATGATACAACTCTCCTTAAAAAGACAAACCAACCCTGTCTTTACATGTCTCTGTGTGTATGGATTAAACAAACAAATGTAGCTTTACCTTTTTGAACTTTCGAGAAAACCACATCTTGTATTGACACTAAATGTATTGTCTCCGGGCTCTAGCTCCATACAAAGCAACCATTCAACATTTTCAGAAATATGCTTATTCTCTTTCTTGCTGAGAGTTAAATGAGAAGATCAATAACATTCTCCTGTTTGAAGCTGGAGCCAGCAGCTGTTCAGTTTAGCTCAGTTTATCTCTCTATCTTATTTTAAGCATGCAGACTTTGGCTTTTGAACAGATATAACTGAAATGAAATGAGATATAACATGTTAATCAGTGAACTTTAAAGGGGTTAATAAGCAGATTTTATTTTTTTTGGCACATGACTATTCAAAATGACTAAAAGTGGGGACGCACCATAATTTGCTGATTATGGGGAATGTTATGATTATTATGAATTATCTGAATAATTAAATTACAGACACCCCCCCCCAATGACTGAAAGCCAAAGTATGCATGCAAAGTAAAGTAAAGTAAAAAATAAATAAAGATTTGTTATTTTGTTTTGTTGAGTTAACTATAGCAATGTAAGTTAGATTTGGTTAGAACAGAGCTATTGGAGTATTAAACCATTAATCTTTGCTTTTTCATATTAACCTTTCTTTATGTGTGCTAATACAACCGAAGAAGAAGAAGAGGAGGAAGAGGAGGAGGAGGAAGAGGAGGAAGAAGAGGAAGAAGAAGAAGAAGAGGAGCACTAAAGGGGCGGGGTTTTGTTGGAGGCAAAAACCCTGAGAGGGGCTTCCGTTGTGTGTGGTTACGACCAAGACCGCAATATAAACTTGATTGCATTTAACTGTGAAAAGGACAGAAATACCGAGGGGGAGGTAAACACACAAGCACGTCGAGAAACACTGAACGTTAACTTCTTGCATGAGTGATAGCCTGCTAGCTGCTAGCTGCTAGCTTTGTGCCTGCAGTGAGCAGTTAGCATAGCCAGCTAGTTACCGTTAGCTCGCCTGTGTTGAAACTTAGCGCTCCTTTTTTCTACTAACGTTATTAAACGTTGGTGTTGGCGCCAGACTGACGGCGTTTACGCTCTTATTTAACACGTCTGCACTCTGCCTTTCTTCGTAACGCGGTTACAAACGTTAATGTGTTGTTTATAGAGAGCTGTTAGCTAACTAAGTCCATTGTAGTTAGCCACAGCTGGCTAGCTTCTCTCTCACTTGGTGTTTTGAGCTTTCCTCCATGTTCTTTTCTCTCGGATCTTCATCTATCATGTTGACAGCTGGCCTGCACATGAAAACGCCACAATGCTGCTGCTCGCCGTGATTTTATGTGTGGCATTGTGTTATTAAAGCTGTTGTGTGTGCAGGGATGTAGCAAGCTGTGATTTATGGGCCCTGTGGAAGAATAACCCTCAAAACAATCCCGAGTAGTGGAAATGTTTTGGGTGTCCTCCTGCAGTGGGTACCTCAGAAGCTGTCTTCCTGTTTATGCTATCAGTGTCTGTTAGAAATGTTAAACCTACTGAGTGGACACAGATTTATGTGTCAGCTAGTAAGTGGTGATTTGAGTTTTCATGTGTGCATTTATTTTATTATTTTGTGTGGAGTGCCGTATTGCATGCTCAACAAGTCTTCATGCTGAGATATTTACAGCTAAGAAGTTTATAAATTAATAGAAATATATATTTTGGATACCAGATTAACATTCAGTCAACTATTTGTGTCTTCTGTGTTTTGAGCAGCAAACATGGATGCAGGTGAAGACCAAAACACAGGCACTACTAATGGAAATCCTCAGGCAAGCGGGAACTCTCGTGCACCCCAGATAGCCCACATGTCTCTATACGAGAGACAGGCTGTGCAGGTGTGTATAGTGTTTGTGTGCTTAAATTGTGAACTGACTAATAATACATAGATATAAAGACTTTTGAATTAGTCTTAAAATAGTGTATGTTTGTTTGTTCAGGCTCTTCAAGCACTTCAAAGACAGCCAAATGCAGCTCAGTACTTCCAACAACTTATGCTGCAGCAACAGATCAGCAGTGCCCAACTCCACAACTTGGCCGCTGTGCAACAGGTAAGCAGAATAATGACAGGAATATGTAGTCAGTGCAAAAATATGGGAAGCAGAAGCATCACACTTTTTAATCTTTTTTTAAAAAATTTCTCTTTAAACAAGGCCACACTTGCAGCTAGTCGTCAGTCCAATACCCCAAGTAACAGCATGTCCCAGGCGCCGACCACAGTAAGTGTTGTATGTATTTTATTAATGTTTTATGAATTACACAGCTAGGTTTGGAAATAACAAGGTAGGTTGGATAGAAATGTCAAATTTTCGGTTCCTCCCAGGTCAACTTAAGCACCACATCTGCAGGAGGTACCATGACCAACCCCCGTCCCCATGGCCCGGCCACTTCTGCAACGACAACAGCTCTCAACCAGTCAGTGTTGCTGGGTGGAAACTCTGCAGGACAGGGACAAATGTATCTTAGGGTGAGTTAAAAATGATTGTGAATATTGTCCATTTTTGGGAAATAATTGCAGTTGTCTGTGCAAGTACAGCAGTAACAAAAGTAAAAACTATTTTATTATACTCCACCTACAGGGAATCCTCCTTTTTTTTAGATGTACACATGTACAAATATGTTTTATTAAGTATTCCATATAGTTAAGGAGTAATTTGTTAAAATACTGTTTACAAGGTTGACCCATATTTCTTGCTCCTCCCATAGGTCAACCGCTCTCTCAGGGCTCCCCTTGCCTCTCAGCTCATCTTCATGCCTGGTGGTACAGCAACAGCTACTGTAGCAACTGTTGCCCAGACGCAGCAGCAGCAGCAGCAGCAACAGCAGCAGCAACAACAACAACAACAACAACAACAACAACAGCAGCAGCAACAGCAACAACAACAACAACAGCAGCAGCAGCAGCATGAAGTTGCTCCTACCACTGCTAGTGCCCAGTGTGACAATGATCAGGTTTGAGGACCATTACCTACCTGTAATATAAAGTCTTAGCTACAAGTCATACAGTCTTAAATATTTTGACTACTTGACTCCACCAAGCACACACCTGCTATTTTGCTCAAATGCATTTCACTACAACCTCCTTTCTTTATCATACAGGTGCAGAATCTGGCCCTACACTGCGCTCCCAGAGCAGTGGCTGTCAAGTCTGAGCTCCCAGAGAGGAAAGATGTTGCCAGCTTTCCTCTCGGTCAACAGCAGCAGCAGCAGACATTTGCCCAGACAGCTCAGCAGCAGCAAGTGCAACCACAACAGCAACAACAAATGGCCAAACCCAACTTTGCGCAGCAGTCCACTGCTAACACTATGACTGTAAAGACTGGAAACCAGGCTGCCATGACTGTTACTCCTGCTGTTTCTGTAGCTCCTTCCTCCACCTCCTCTACAGCACTCCCTCTCTCCCAGCTCCTCCTGTCCTCCTCTGCTGCCCCTGTGATCCTGGTGCCCACCTCAAATGTTCCTACCACAACCCAGGGCTACCCCATTGGCTCAGTGACTCCAAAAGCCAACGTTAACACTCAGACTCTGGTGGTGCAACCCCTACAACAGGCCAGCACTACTGTAGACAAAGGTCCTGTGCCGATCCAGCCCAAGACAGCTCAGGGACACCGCTTACCTATGCAGCTACCCCCTAGACACCCACCTCCCATCCTCCCAGCGCCACCTAGCAACAACCAGGCTACAACTGGAGGGTACAACACTCCCCACATCCCTGTGCAACTTGTAGGAGCCAGGCAAGGCTTAGCAGGAAACGTACAGGCTGTGGCTCTGGCACAAGTACGGAGCAACACCACCCAGGAAAGTACAGCCGGTGGGAATGTCAGTGCAGTTTCCAACAACAGTGCTATGGTAAGATCAACCATTGAAAGAATGTACTTTGTGATGCTGACTCTTAGGTGTAAAGATAACTATCAGTGTACAAGGAATTATAACAGTTTATCCTGCTCTTTTTCTACATACCATTAGTTAAAGCCTGCCATTGGTTCTCTGAAGAGAAAGTCTGACTGTGATGCACCAAATGAGATGGTGACAGAATCTTCAAACTCTGCACACATGAAAGATTCTGCTCCTCCCTTATCCCCTGCCCCTGCAAAGGACTCAGGTATGTCAATTTGTTGTCCCCAAATGAAGCATACATTATAAGAAATACGGGTTGAAAGCTCATTATTTTATTTTCCTTCTCACTAGCCCCCCTTGCAGCTGCCTTCTCATCTCCCCCCACCCTGTCCTTGCCTCTGCCCTTGTCAAGAGTCGGACTTGGGGACAAAGACAGAGCCCCAGTTCCCCAGGCAGTGGTCAAACCTCAAGTCCTCACCCACCTCATTGAGGGCTTTGTGATCCAGGAGGGAGCTGAGCCCTTCCCCGTAAGTTTGCCCCCATGATAACACAGATTTCACCTTAAATCAAATACAATTTGAAATACACTGGCTATGCACTTCTCTGTGTGAAACACCTCCTTACTACCAGGCTTGTATTATATATATGACAGGTTGCTCGACTCCTCAAAGACAGCGATTTTGCCCTGGTTGGCCGCTCAGAGAACGGACCTCCATGTAAGTGCTCAAATAACTCTTATTTTTTAACAATGATACCATGAATCTGTGTGCACGGTCAATATTTCATAAATGTGTAACATAGTTTTATTCTTTCCTCTTCAGTGTTAAAGTGTGAGTACTGTGGAAGCCTCGCCCCTGCCAGCCAGTTCAGAGGATCAAAGAGGTTCTGTTCAAATACTTGTGCTAAGAGGTACGATTTACTTTAGCTTCCCATTTTGGCTTCTTTGTAGTTTGGTAATGTCGTACATTTACCAGCCAGAAGCAACATTTTATTCGACCAGGGCAAGCGGCAAATCGTTATTGTTGTCCCGCTTAAATAAACATAAGCAATAGGACACAAGACTGTACGAGGGGTTGCCACTGATTGAACCTAATTAGCACATTGTGCAAATTGGCATGAAGTAAAAACTGCAAGATAGATACACATAGGAGAATTAAAAACCTTTGAAATGTCTTCCTGTATAATAACTGTGTTCCTGGATCCACAGGTATAATGTAAGCTGCAGCCAACACTTCAAGACAAGCAGAGGGAGAAGTGGTGCAGGCCTGGCACCACCTCCAGCACCCAGTGAGAGCGCTGCCAGGAGAAGGGGCCCCACTCGCAGGAGCAGTTCTAATAACACCTGTAATAAAATATCAAACAGACATCTAGCTGTCAAGGTAAGAGTAGTTTTATGGATGAGGCTGGTGATATTCAATATTTCTGTCAACAATTGTTGGACACAAATCCCATTTAAAAAAAATAAAAATTAAAAAATAAAAACCAACAATGAATTCATCCTAACAAGTATTACCAGTGTATGTAAAGTCTGATGTGGAAATCCATTGTTTTTCAAAGACTACACATTAGAAAGAAAGTATTGAGTCACACTTTGGTTTTCCTTTGTGTGTTTCATGGAATATGTTGATAGTAAAAACAATATAGAACATTTCTAGCCTTATGTCTTTATATCATGTGGTTACATTATCAACAAATACAGCTTACTTTCTGAAAATTTATTGTTGGTTTTTGTATCTGAATCTCCACTCTTTTGGGTCATAGTGTCACTCTGAGTCCAGCCGCTCGGAGGACGTATCCAGTGACGGGGAAGGAGAGGAGGACGATTCTCCCTCACTGTCCCCAAGCTCTTCACACTCCTGCTCAAGAGCTGGGCACAGCGCTCCTCCGTCAGACAGCTCAGCTCCTGGAAGCCTCCCACTAGAGGGGGCTAACTTTCTCTCTGCAACTCCTGCTCAGTGGAGTGTGGAAGAAGTCTGCAGGTTTATCTCTTCACTTCAAGGTGGGTGTTCAGTGATGAGATAACAGTTATGTTGTAAGTGTTGCCATGTCTCCTGTTCTCTTTTTGTACTAATTCTATCTTCTGGTCTTGTGTACAGGCTGTGAGGAGTTGGCTGCCCAGTTCCTGTCACAGGAAATAGACGGGCAGGCTCTGTTGCTTCTGCGAGAGGACCATCTCATCTCCACCATGAATATCAAGCTGGGTCCAGCTCTCAAGATCTGTGCCTCTATCAACACCCTGCGTGAGTGATGCAGTCAGTGCTTCAGAGGGACAGCAGGATCCTTTTCTAATTGATGATTTCTCACTGGAATCAATATCTCGACTTACTCCTCTTTAGTAAGAAGAAACTAAGCTCTATGGCAAGGTGGGAAACTTTTTGACTGAACTTTTTGAAATGTGAACATCTTCCAGCCACTGACAAATAAATATTTAAATTCACCAGCCACTCAATAGTCAATCATTGTGAAATCTCTACCAGCCACTTTCATATTTTACCAGCATGTGGCTGGTGCTGATTTCCCACTCTGGGGGGACAATAAACACAAAACAGTGGTGCACCATCAATCATGTGGAGACATGGACAGTTTACTTTCTGGACATTGAATGTGCAAAAACATGTATGTATACTGTTATGTGTGAGTGGTGAGCATGGACAGTCTGAAGTATCCATGTCAGTGGTGTTTGTCAGTTTTTTTTTCTGTCGCTGTGTAGAGGCCTTTTGTATGTATTCTCTTGTGAAACTGTGCAAATCTGCCAGTCTGCAGTAATCTGTGCTAGATCTTCTAGCTAGGACAGTTTACCTGTTGGGTAAAAAAAACAAAACAAAAAAAGAAACGTTGCCTTCTTGCTGTATTTCAAAGGGTGCTTTAACTTTAGTGATATATGATTTGAAGTGATGTCAAAAACAGTCCACTTCACTTTAAAGGAAACAGTTCATCCCAAAATCTAAAATAAATGTTTTTCTCTCTCACCTGTAGTTCCATTTATAGATCTAGATCAGGTGTTGGCCAAAGTTTTTTCTCTTGGAGGGCCAAAACTGAAACTTAATGGTGGGTCACAGGCCAAAAGCACCTATCGGACTGTATTGTTAAGATGCCAAATGGTACCTGTTGGCAAATCCTGGGCGCCACTTTAGGCAGCCGTGATCTAGATTGTTTTAGTGAGAGTTACTTACTTTTGTAGGTACAGTATGTCTGCCTTCTCTCAAACATAATGGAACTAGATGGCACTCGGCTTGTGGTGCCAAAAAATAAGTTTGAAAAACTCAACAGCAATATCTCTTTCTAGAAATCATGACCCAGTTACTCAAGTTGATGTACAGATCTTGTTGTGAGCAGTTTCTTTTGGCGCTTTGAGTTCCATTATATTTGAGAGAAAGCAGATATCTCTGACTGATATCTCCAAAACTCTTCAACTCACACCAAAACAGTCTAGATGGATAAATAGTACTACAGATAAGAGGAAAAATATGTATTTTAAATTTTCATGTGAACTGCCCCTTAAATATTTCAGTCTTTTAGTAGTTGTTATTTTATCATAGATGTTCAATCCAGGCTCCAATCACATCGAGCAAAGGACACTCAAAAAGCCTGGTTTATTTTAGTTACTTTTACCAGTTATTAAAAGTTTAGTTTTGTATCTTTTCCATTTTGTACTACAATCAAAATTATTTTTTCATGAATACGATATAGTTTTAGTAGCTTTAATCAACTTAACTACCTGAAAATAGGTATTCCTCATGGTTTGGTCTCTCAAGGGCTGAGTGGAAGTTTTCTGTGTACATGTATGCAGTACTACCAATAAACAATACCTGTTACTGGACATGTGTGTGCTTTTATTACCCCCATGATGCCCACTTGAAAATGGGAAAAGATTATTGTAGGACCTGTGCTATTTTCATTCACATTTGAGTTTGTGTAAACAGCTCATAGAGAAAATATTGAACGCTATAATAGCATAAATACATTTATGTACCCTTCATTTCCATAATGCATAATATAGAATCATACAAAAACATGGTTATAACATATAATACATCTGTTAATATACATTTGCTTCAGATTGTAAACAAGATTTGTAACCATCATATATTGACAGTATCAACTACAAGTTCATGATGCAGCAGCTGTACATAGGTCAAGTTTACATTTCTTAAAGTGTACTACTAGAAAATTTCCCCTTTGTATCTCCCCAACTAAACCTCAAAGGAATAGGAATAGCCTATACAGACAAGGACACACAAAAATGAGGTCTTAGATGAAAATGAATGGCTTCCAAAGATAAACAACCCATTTTACATGCCATTTTTCCTCATTTACTGAAGTAAGATAATACATAACAAAACAATTTTGGGTCCCAAAGTTCTCATAAACAGAGTTTGAAACACTTTTATTGCACCTAAAAGATATTTTTTTGTACAAGTGCACCTTTGGGGTACCACTGGGGAGAATAGTGCAGTTTATTTTGCTGGCATGGGCACTGATCAGAAAACAGTGTAGCTGTTGGTTTCCCCATATCCTGCCTGCTGCAGGTACTGCTCAATGTTAACTGTCCCTGACACCTTGAGGACTTTTTCAGAGGCACTTTTCTCTCCTGAGAGGAGCTTTCGGCTCACCTCATCCAGAGAGGGTCGATCTTGATCCTTCCACTGGCAACAACCCTTAATGATGGCGTATCTGAGGGAGAGAGAAAATAGTCTGAGTTTAACAGCACATTTGTTAAAGAGAGAAGCTCTGCTTCAGGTTTGGTTGTGTGTTATCTGCAGAATGCAGCGAATACTTACAGCGCGTTGGAACAGTTTGAAGGTTTTTTCAGATTTTTCCCTCGTTGATGAAACTGCAGAAGCTCATTAACTGAGATGTCTGCAAACGGAGCTTCACCTTGACAGAAAATAATAGAGATGGATGAAATCCTCTATCAAGGTATACTGTATGTACTGTTACATTGCAATATCAATATACAGCATGTAAAGTACATTTTCTACAAAATCAATAGAGAAACTGAAGCCAGATGGACACATTTTTGGCTCATCGAGAAATACAGATTAAGGTACTAAATCATATATTAAAATTCAATATTGCTATAAAGAAGTCCTGTTTGTGGGATTGCAATAATGCCTACAATTGTCTAACACCACCAGGGATTTTGTGTTGAAGTAATAGATAACGCAGTATAAATTATATTATTCATGAACTATGTTCCCAGAAGTTAAAGGTAAACTTACCCAATGTTGCCATTTCATACAGTAAGATGCCAAAGGACCAGCTAGAAAGGGGACACACAGAGGCAAATACTGGTTAGAGTCTTCTATTCAGTAAATGGTGTATATACTTACGTAATATACTTACACAACATGCATTTCATGCCTCTCTGCAGATAAGCTAGTAGCAATATTTAATAAATCATTTGTTTTTTTATGCTGCAGCAACGTCTGCATTGGAACAGAAAAACTCACATGTCGCTGCTCTGACCAGCTGGTCTCTTGGCTAACAGCTCTGGTGCCTGCCATTTCTTCATGCTGGGATCATCTTTCTGAGTGGCTCCCTGGTTCTTCCTTGTGTAGACCCCATGCAGGCCCCAAAGCTTGGCTGTGAACTCTTTGGTGACCAGTACGCTACGGGCACGAATGTTTCCGTGGAGAAGATCTTTGCTGTGAAGGAACTCCTGATAGGGCAAAAGACAAGGATTAATCTCAGGATTAAACACAGACACCTGATTGATTTCAGTTCAGTCAGTCATCTATGATTACATGATGTAAATATGTAAAGTTCTTCCTAAAACTGCATTTTAGAGCGTACGTGTTAGACAGTATGTTTGTATTAAGTAAATTAATGGATTAAAGCACTTTAGTCCCAATTGAAATTTCTCAAAACTATTGGATGGATTGCCATCAAATTTCTGAATATATTTATGGTCCCTTTCTTGTTTCAGAAATTCATGTTTCCCACAGAATGAGTTGAAATAAACTTCTCTTACTAAATCATTTAACACTACATTTTATAATCCTCGTGAGGGAAGCACCTTTCTGTGTGGAGTTTGCATGTTCTCCCATGTGTGCATGGGTTTCACCCCAGGTAAACTTTACCTGCTAACTGTTAAAATGCTGCTTAGAGCATTTAGTTTAAAGTACCACTGTGCCAACGTACAGACCCCAGAGCTGCCAGCATGAGTGTAAACTATATATGTAAATGATATTGACGGATAAAGAAATGAGACAATGATACAAAAACACAAGAAAATTGGATCATTGTCAGGAAACCCAGTCAACAAGTCAATGCTGAGATTGGGTCAGGACAGGGTTATTGTATGTCAGTGATTAGAAAGTCAAACGTGTGCTTTAAAAAAGGTGAGGACATATTTATTAGCATACTAACCAGTGCTGAGGCCACCTGTTTGGCCATGGAGAATATTCTTCTCTCAGTCATTTCACACGGAGGATCCACCTTTTCCTGAAAAAACAAAACAAAACAAGAACAAGAAGAGAAGTTATTTTGCCATTTGGAAGATGACACAATCATTACTTTGCCACTTTATGAGTGTTTTTCTTTCTTTAAATACATGGTTTGAAGTGAGTTAACACATATTGCAGCAGTGTATCCTCTGTAAAAAATATACCTGTCTGCATCGCCACAGGAAGCTGAGCATGTCTCTGTTCTCCAGCTCTTCCACGACTGTAACCAGAGGAGCTCGAAGTGAGACCACACCAAGAAGCTCTGGCAGGAAGGGATGTGGTCCCAGCTGGGCCAAGAAGGATGCAAATCCCAGGAAGTTGTGTCTTTCTGTGGCATCAGCGGAGTCTGAGAAGGGCAAGAATGAGAGGAAGATGAAGGAGCATTGCAGTTACAGAAACCATGTAATGAAAATCAGATGAGAAAGACCTGCAAATGAGACAATTAAGCACTTTTCTCATGAACCACAAACAAACTTCCAGTATATTCAAGTTCCTCACCATTTAGAACTCGCAGCACCACATTCCTGTTTTCCATGCGTGCCCTGTAGAGGGACACAGAGGAGTCGGAGCGCAGGGAGAAGGAAGTAGGCAGAGGGGAGACCAGGTTGAAGGACTCGGGCAGCCTCTGGCGGGGCAGCTCTCTGGGCTGGACAATGGGAGTGAAACTGGGTTTGAAGGGCTGCGGTGGGGGGCTGGGTTGGAAAGAAGGTGTGGCCACAGACATGGAGAGGCTTTTGGAGGGGTAAGTGTTCGGGGGGTGGAAGGTGGAGTAGGAACTGGGCATGTCCAGAGCAATGCTTTCATGCTCCAGGACATTGATACCTGGTGGAGCTGTGGACAGAGAGTTAGGGGAGAGACGGAGAGGGAGAACAAGAATAATTATCATTAGAGATAAGTGCAAACAAGAGTACATACGTCAAAAGAACTATTTATCTTTGTGCAGCTGAACTGAAACTTAGATATGAAGAGAGATTATTGATCTGACTGATGAAAAGAACAAGACAAAACCTCTTTGCTGCCATAAATACCAGTGTACACGTGTAAATCCCAATAAAAAAAGAACTTTAGGTTCTGGGCAGCTTTATGATTTGATAAATTGACAACATGATAAATCTGACTTATAAGTAAAAGGTGCTAAACAAAGACAAAAATCAATACACATTAAATTAAGCAAAATGAACCTAGAATCTTAAGCACACCTTTTACAGAAAGCAAAATACAGTAAATATACATATAGAAACAGCTTCCTGACTGTTGTGTAGATCCAATTTAATTTCTGTGATATGATTTCATTCATTTGAAACAAACTTGTGTCTATTCCAGTTTCCTACCATCAATCCCATGCAGCACTCTCCTGGTGGGCGCCTTTGTGGTCTGTGGACGGATGCGATCGACTCTCTCCGGACAATAGCGTAGCAGGATAATGAAGACCAGAGTGACCAGGAAGCTGGACAGCAGCAAGATTGGCACAACGATCACCTCCTGCTCATACACACGGATCTCTGCAAACAGGAGCAGACACAATACTTACAATCACTCAGCGAGTCTGAGGGACAGTGATCTTAAAGTGGCAGACACTGTTTGTCTATGCTGTCTGTTCATCTGTCAACAGACAGCATTTAAAAACATTTAACCTCAAGGCCTCCAATGGACCAGACCAAGTTAGAGGTCAAAGTAAAACTTACCACAAATTGTATCTCCGTGATTGCAGCGGAAGTCTGCTTCTGATAATGAAGACATCCTGTTGCATGTAAAGAGAGATGAGATTATAGAAATGTTGCAAACACACTCTTCACACAGTCTAACCTTCAGTCGGATTGCAGTATTTCCACATGTTTACAGTTGTTGTGTATTAGCTCCAGGGAATTTTTACAAAAAACGTGTAAGTGTTTGTTGTGGATACACAAGTAGGTGTAGAGAATAAAAACAACAGATAAAGTGACAGTGGCAGTCCCCTGAAACGCATCGAGTCTTGGACTGAATCTGTAATAGTAACACGACTCTTTACAAGGTATCCAGTATGAGAAGGTGTCTGAGAAACGTGTAACTGAGACCAGGAACTTCAGATGTTGTATCACTGTCTCTGAGGTATGCCAAACTCTCAGTAATAACTCTGACACCTCACTGTAACACAACATATGATCATTTAGGACTTACACAGACTTTTAAATGCTCAATTTTAAGGTGATGTAATTATATGACCTAGTTGAAGACATAAGATAAACCCTTCACCAAAGCTGCATGTATAGAAAAAAATGTATCATCTTTAATTGAGGAATATCTGAATTTAAAGTTGCTTTAAATGCAGTGTATAATAGTAATAGAACTGTCACTGCAGCCACACAGGGAAGCTCTTCATCCATATTATCCTCCTTTTACGTCACATCCAAGATCTCTAAACCTGTTCATCTACATTTTTTGAAGCATAAATGCTAGTGTAACTACACACCCAAAGGCCAAACATAAGTGGAAAAAACAGCACCAGATTCGGTGTCATGTTCATAACAGAAAGACTAGCAGAGTGACAGTTTTTTATTAAATTAACATCATGCATTAACATTATCTCTCTCTACCTCAGAGCTACATTAACAATATATAACAGTATGATAGAAAACACATTTAGTGTTTAAAATCTTTACCTCAGCTCCCTTCAGTTTGTGTCCTATAGCCCAAAGAAAATGTTTGATCCTGTTATTTCAGGCTCATGTTTCCCTCCTTCACACAGTCAGACACTTTTCACACATCCTCCCAGCTGAATGTGGAGTCCGGGTTCAGCCTTGCTGCTCAGATCTTCATTGTCTTTGTTTTTCTCTGGTGATTTGTCAGACTCAGGGGATCAATGTGCTGCTCTCTGTTTGTCCACCTTCAGTGTTTTCTTAACTCCACCCTCCTCACCTACACCTCGTCCGTCTTCTCTCTTATTTACCTCTTCCTTCTTCCTCCTTCCTGTCTCTCTCCTTCTCAGATTAAGATGTGATGCATCGCACTGACATCAGGTTTACGGCAATCCGGTCTCACTCTGCCTCTCTTTGAGTTTGCTCTACAACATTCTGCATTTAGTTTCTTCTCTTAAGTCGACATATGTCAGCTACCTCTGGCCGTGCCTTCTCCTCTTTGTCTAGGGAAACTGGTCCTGCTGCTCCTTGTCATTTTTAGTCCTTTTGTTGTTTGGCCTTCATTCCACTGGAACTCGAAAGACAAGATTTGCAGTCTCTGGAGTATTTACTCAACAATAATGAACTGAATTTCTTTCCACAATAAGAAACTGAATTTCTTTCCAGGTACAGGCATTAAACATATTAAAATATTTTTTGAAACAAATATAAATGATATACTGTCAGTTAAGATAATACATTATTGCAGTGGTGGAAGAAGTCCTTAAACCTTTACTTAAACAAAAGTACCAATTCAACAATGTAAAATTACTCAAATACAAATAAAAGTCCTGCATTAAAATTTTTTCTTAATTTCTTAATTGATAATTTAATTATTTATCAAATTATTTGTTGTTAATACTGATGCCTTAATACATAAGTAATATTTTACTGATGCAGCTGGTTGAGGTGCAGTTTTGCTGCACAGATTTGTATTCATTTTGATGAGGGGCCCCAACTAGACACTGATTATTTCTAAGAGATCACAAGACAAAAAGATCGAGAACTAATTGAATATATAATACTGCATTTCCTTAGCTTACAGTGTGTTAAAAATATAATTCTAAAAATAAACAAGTTTAATTATAGGTGTCAAACAAATGTAGTGAAATAAAATGTATAATATTTCCCTCTGAAATGGACATTGCATGCAATCACCTCAAACTTGTACCGAAGTACAGTGCACTGTTTGTTGAAATTAGAACATTTAAGTGTTTTCAAATTGATATAATAACAAGGGTTTTATCCAACCATCCATTATCTATACCCACATCCTGTTTAGTGTGTCTAGGGGGTGGAGTATATCCGAGCTCACATTGGGAAAGAGGAGGGTTACACCCTGACAGTCTACCACAAAGCAAACACAAGAAGACAACCACATACCCACTAACATTAATAGCTACGGGCCATTTAGTTTCTAATTCATCCGACCTGCATGTATTTGGACTGTGGGATGAAACCCACACAGAAAGACATCTGCCTCAAATATGTTTAAACTCTAAAAGGACCTTCTTACTGCGAGGTAACCACTGAGACAAAGACGTGTTTAACATTAAAGTAATTTTAATTAAGTATTCATTTCAGTGGTTCACAAATAATTGCTTGATCTAACTAACAATGACAAAATAACTGCGAATAAAAAAATTTAGTCCTTACATTTAAAGAACAATATAAAGAACACATGAACTGTCACACACCAAATGAAATCTTAGGCTGCGTTAAGACGGCAGAACAAAGTGAGTTTTTTTACTCCTATGTGACTCAGATCTGATCTGAACAGCACAAATCACAAGAATCCGATCTTATCTTCGATTCTGATTCAGGCAACTTTTTATATATGGTCCACATCATACACAGGTCTGATTTTTTGCAATGTGACCTCACAGAGGCCCTAGAGAGGAAGAGTGATGGGATCACCAAAATCATTAAGATTCATCATGCTGGGACCATGAATGTCACTGAATGTTGTAGTTTTTGAGACATTTCAATCTGGAGTGAAAGTGATGAACCAACAATTATATCATTTTCATGTCTTTGTATTTCAATAGAAAAGATAACGAGCTTATTATCTGTAAGTTGTCAATGTTGGTTTTAATAGGCACATAATTAATATTACAATGTATGTTACATTATTTACACCACTATTTGTTATTAAGGTTTATTGGACTCCTTGGTTTTAGAGGGCACAGCAAAGAAAATATAAAATTTGAAGAATTAGAGAAAATCACCAAAATGGGATGCTAATTCAAAAGCGTGTGAGCACATCGACAGTGTCTGAAGGCAGCTTTTACTCTCACAGTTTGGCAGCTGATTTGCCAGGCTGAGGTCCCAGCCACTTCTCTCCTGAAACAGAACAAAATGAGATTGGGCAGGAATCTCAAGACAGCTTCAGATTGAATTGCTAAACAGCTGCTGAACTTCACAAATCATATAAACAAAAGATAAAAGCTGCAACACAGTTTATATGGTTGTCAAATATTTGCCTAGTCTCAAAATAGAAACTGTCTCCAGTATGTCAATAACAGTGTATTTACACTTTAAATAGGGAGTGCAGTAGGTTCATCTTTAATCTTTAAATGATCACTTTAACATTATATGTGTTCATGAATGATGCACAGTACAATAGTTGTACTCACCAATGCAGTGCGCCATGAGCTCAAATCTGTCAGATCCAAAAAACATCTCTGGTTTTCCATTTACATGACACACCAGCAGGGGGAAGCCAAACGCCTGGGAAGAGGCAGCAGGAGAGATTTTGTTTGTCACAGTGTAATGGCTTTGTCTTTCCTACCTGAAGCTTCAAGGAGAACTGAAGGACAACTGACCCCATACTCAAGTGCATCCTGTGTTGTGCTTTTCAGCTTGTCTTTGACCTCCTTTGAGGTGGACAGCTTCAGCACTTCTGTAATCTCGCTCTCAGACAGTCCTGCTTTCATTGCTGCCTACAAAAAAAAAAAAAAAAAGACACTGACAAAACGATATGGTGCTTTTTAATCTTCTCAAACAAAACCTGGCTGGATAAGGTGGTACCTCAGACAATGATGCAGGTTCCGTGATGTCTTTGTCCTCACTCCAGATCCTTCTCCACAGCTCCCGAGACACCTGCTCCACCTGCTTGTCTCCACCCTTCTCCCTCTCTTGTACTGCTGCCACAAATCTCATTGCAGACAAGGAGCCTGGGAGAAGAAACACAGAAGAATACATGTAAATCACTGAATTATTAATTTTGCTCAATAAAAACAATAAAATAGTACCAACTACTGTCTTGTGCAATGAATTACCAACTGGGCAAAGTGGGCAACTACCCCCAGACCCAGAGGCATTATGTGGAAATCATTGATTGATTGTACTTATATAGGAATATAAAGGAATATGCATCACTAAGTACAATGTCAACCGACATAAGAGCCTTTCTTTCTATACTCCATTGAATAATGTTAAACAACAATAACACAATACAAATCAGTAAGAATCTGATGGCAGGTGGGACTTAATGCACACAAAAAGAAACTCACACTGAACCACATTCACTCGCCTCTCAGCTCATTGTTTTGGGTTTATGGCCCACAACTTCACTGTTTGGTTCCCTCTCATCAAACTGTATTTCAGCCACAGCAGCCAACTGCTTTCAGCCAAGGAGCTCCAATAAACCAACTCTACACTACCTGTTCAGAATCAAACTGCAGACAAAGTTAGTAAACAGCTGGTGAACAAACACGAGCATTTAGCTTCTAAAGAGCCAGACATTTCAAAACGGAGCTAAAAGAGAGACGAACATTCACCAGGTGGCCAGAAACACGACTAAAATTAAAGCTAGTGTTGCTCATGTGTGTGCAAGAGGTGTAACTAAGCATCTGTTAGCCACAACTACTATACCAGGTGCTAATATGTCAGTTTTGTGTTTACAGCTTGTTTCACTTCCACCAGTTAGCTAAATAAATCAATTAATGTTGCTTCAAGGTGGGTCCTGTTTCTTGAGGCCCTGCCTTATATAGGGGGCCTATGTCAAGATCAGGGCTGCAACTACAACTTGTTCTCATTATCGATTAATGTGTTTCTTTTCGAATAATCATTTTGTCTATAAAATGTAAGAACAGTGAGGCAGAAGAGTGATAAAGGCCTGTTAAAATGTCCTACACAACAAACAGAGAGGGGGAGAAAAGGAGTCCCAGCCCCCAAACAGATTAATCTAGCTGTGGTATAGCCAATAAACATTACATGACTAATGCTGTGTATATACCTTTCTTGAACATGGCTTCAAAGGGGTCCGATGGAGTCTGCATTGGAACTGAAAAATACTCCGCTAAACGCTTCAGGTCCTCGGTCATGTACAGGAATTTGTTTGGAACCAGACCGGGGGGCTTGTTGCCTGCCGTGAAAGATATATATTATATCATATTAAACAGCATCAACGGTTCAATCCAATAGTTTAAAGGTGCCTAATACATATTTACAGCAGTGGAAGAAGTAATCAGATAATTTACTTAAGTAAAAGTAGTAATACCACAGTGTAGAAATACTCTACATACAAAATCATTAACATCAAAATATATTTAAAGTACTCATTATGCACAACAGCTCATTTAAGAATAATATATATTATATTATTGGACTATAACTACTAATTCATTAACGTGTATATCACTTTAATGTTGCAGCTTGTAAAGGTGGGGCTTATATAATGATATCTTGTGAATTTACCCCCTTATTTTATCTGCTTCTTAAGCTTAAATAATATATTTTATATATTGATTATATTTTGTATTATCGATCTGAATCTACAAAAGGAACTAGTAACTTATTAAATAAATGTAGTAGGTAAAAAACATAATCCACAGAAATACTGGAAATACAGAGGGATATAGTCAACTGTAGTACGAGTATCTGCACTTTAGGTACAGTACTTGAGTAAAAGTACTTCGTTACTTTATGTACCTGATCCTTGCATGATGCCTCCCAGAAACGCAGGTCGCAGTTTGAGCTCTATATTCCACACGTTTCTGTAGCGGCACATGACCTGTAAACACACACAAACCCGTGTTAAAGCTTCATTTGTAACTTTAAGTCTGTATCATCTTTGTTATTGAAGCTGACATCAAACAAACAAACAAACAAACCTCGAAGCCAAGCCAAGAGTACGGAGAAACCACGTCGTAGAACAACTCGACCACTTTCTTCGATGTCATCTTGGATGTCAGTAGCTTTTTGTTTGCAGTAACACTGAAATTAAATGTGGATAAATCAGAAATCAGTCTCTTTTCTCGCACTCAGCCTCAGTGAGCTGTGAAAGTGTGTTAAAGTTCAACCTACCTGACGACTGCTCGCTGTAATGTTTAATCATTAAACTGTGAATATAAATCACTTCTATCGGAGCAGAGTTAACTCGTATGGCTACAGGTCACTAGTTTATCTGACAGCTTTGGAAACAATATTGTTGCCTTTTCAAAAATTACCTTTATTTTCTTCTGCTACTTCTTCTTCTCTGGATTCATTAGCGGTTGTTAAGACGCATTACCGCCACCTACCGGACTGTTTGTAGAAGTAATGTGAATATTACTGTTAACAGTGTTGGGCTAGTAGCTCAGAAAATGTAATGTATTATACTCATTACTCTTTTCAAAAGTAATTTCATTACTCTACTTACTCCCTGCCAACAGTATTAGTAATACTACTAGTTATATTACTCTCCCCATAAAATACATAATTGGGTCCCTTCTCCACAAAATTCAGACTTATGACGATTAAAATCCAGTTTTGTTTGTTAAAATCAAAGTAATGTGAATGTTTCTATCTTCCAAACTAGTTTTCTCCACTGTAACTGTAATTTTATTACTTATTACTTATTATTACTTATTACACTACCCACTGACTAAGACTGGTTTTTAAGCAATTTATTGAGTTTGCACATGTACAATCAGTTTAGTTAATTTTTTGCACACCATATTGCATATAGTGTATATATTTTTCATTTATAGTTTTATATTTTCTATTATATTTTGTTAATATTCTTATTTTGTGATTCTTATTGTTCTTGTGCACTCTGTACTCTTTACACTACATACCCCTGTGCTGCTGTGTCTGACTTGAATTTCTCCTACATAAAGGTACATCTTATCTTATTTTATCTTATCTAATCTAAAATTAATTAGTTACACTACTAATTACTGGGGAAATTCATATTATTTCTAGTAATGAGTTACTGAGTAAAAAAAAAAAAGAGAGCCTGTATGTGTTTGAACTGTTTGATAGAGCCCTGTGTGCTAACTTCAGACAGGTAATAACGGCCACTTCATTCTGTTTTCTATCTTGTCCAGTACCAACATGTTTTTATATTTTATACAGATGTCCCTCTTTTATTTAGAGGAACTTGTATATTTGTTGTCTGTAATTTAAGTGATGGTTCCACAAGTATAAATAATCAAGTAAATGGTGTTTGTATCAGTATCAGGGTCCTGACAGGTTCATTGTCACACTGTCAGGACTAACTGGGACAGTTGAATAGAATTAAGTCATTGTTAATGTTATTAATACAACTCAGATTTCACCATTAATGTCTATAATTTATATATGCATTGAAGGTATCGGCAATTATGGAACTGCAGAGCTGGATTGTTAATTGAACAGGTGTATCATTTTCCTAATAATCATGTTTTAGTGGTATCAGTAATCCCATCTTTAAAACAATCAACATTCTTTTGCATATTGTACTCGTTTTAATTTAATTTCCGCTGCTGTTCTCCACCTCTGTCTCCTCCCCATGTCCACTCTTTACATCCCTCATCGAAGTAAAACTGTTTTATTGACAATATAAACACACAAGTGTGAACTCTGTCCAAACATTTTAGCCTTTCCCGGCAGTTTTATATGTTTAACATTAAACTGAAATACAGTGTAAATATTTATATTAATATCACTGCTATGACAGTAAAATAATTATATTCTCAGAAATACTATTTACTTGTACAATCTATTTACATATAAACCATTCACCAGGATAATAAAGAAGTAACCATATAGGCTAGCAATGTCTATAAGTATCTATCTTCCTTGTATGTCTCTTCTTGAGGACTTGCTTGATCTTTGAGCTCAGCTGGCCCCAAACTGTCAGAGAGAACAGGTCCTGGAGATTTGTCACTGAAAAGCAGAGAAAATAATTATCTTTCTCGTTGATTCAAATCATACAAAAAAAACCCCAATATGTTTTCATAAGTCTTACCCCTCTCCATCTTTCTCTGTCTGTTAAGAAAGTTAAGAAAGAAAGAATGTAAGCTCAAACCTTTCAATAAGTATTTATTAAGTCAAACACATTCATACCCATTGTGAATTTTTACCTTAGGTTTCTGTGATGCACTGCTGCCACTCTTCCTGGGTACCCCAAGAGTCTCGAAAGAGTGGCTCCGCACTCGTATGGCTCTCTAATGACATAGAGTCAGAAGAAAAATGATTCAGTCAAAACAGTGAGATGGTTTCTGAAATCTTAAAAGGTGAGGGAGGCCAACGTTTACCTTAAAATTTTCAATGAATCCTCCACTCCCCTCAGACGCCCCCCGTACACCTTCAGAAGATGGGAGCACAGACAGCGAAGGTTCCCCCATCATGCACTGGGAACGGGTGGAGAGTTCAGTCTGCAAGCTCTCTAGGAGTGAGGAACGAGTGCGGAGCTTCGTCAGAGAGGAGAGACACGAGAGCACACGTGGCAGGGACAAGTCAGAGGACAAGCTTGGACCTTCAGTAATAAAGAGCATTAATCAAAAACAGTCTCTTTCCTCTACCTCTAGTCTGCTGAACTGTTGAGCCTTATAGCAGGAAATCTCTGCATTGATGAGTTTGGTCAAAAGGAATTCTCTCAGCAGGGAACGCTGAAAGACAGGACAGAAGAAACCTGGACTTATGAAGCATCTCAGTAATTGATTTGTACTGTAACGATTCAGGTGAGCAAGACAGTTCACAAGCAGGGCAGGTTTACTGGGTGGATTATCAATGTAAGGCAGGCAAAAGTCAAAAGAGGCAAATAGGGATCAAAAACTAAGGCAGACAGGACCACGAGGCAAAGGCTACTGTAACAGTACACATGCACATATACACTAGCACCATGGCCCAATACCATACTATTATAAGCAGGTTAAACAGAACGAAGGAAAAACTACTACTACTTTTAAAGTTTAATTGGCAGCTCAAAGATACAGTTTGATTGACATCCAACATCACACATACTGTATCATAAATTCGTCCTTTAATAAAAAATAAGTAAGTAAGTCTGTTAACTGATAAGAGTATGGCGAATAGTGTGCAGTACACATCGTATAGAATTAGTTTGTAGTATGGATTTGGGACACAGCGGGAAGAGCACAGAAGGAATAAACAACAGTAATAATGATCCTCTGGTGTTGTGCCCGCTCACTCGCTGTCATGGCTTGCTGGGACACTGAGCTAATGGAACGGAGCCATTGTTTATGTTATGTACATGTGTGCTCTTCCTGCTTTGACAACACTCATTTTGTTATGGAATAGTTGGGTAAACAAAGGCTCTGCTACAGTTAAGGTAACAGAACCAATGTGTCAATGGTAACACCTGTGATTACCCTACTATTTCATGTCAAAATGGCTGCTGTGAAAAAGGCCTATTGGGGACAACCCCTGGACAGGGAGGGATCGGCAGGTTCTAAAATAATAGTGTGAAGAAAAACAATATGATTTGGCTATTGATGTGACATTGTATTTGGAAAAAGGAAAGAGCTTGTTGACCTGATCCTGGTCCTGATCCTGATTCTGATTCTGACCTTGGTATTGTTTCTTACCTCTGTGAAGATGGGAGGATCCGGAAGGACTGGACCAAATGGAGGAACATCCTCTCTGGCTGTGACAGACACCTGTGAAGAGGATAAAGCCCCCTGGCTGAAAATATCAATAAGTAACAAAAAAAATGCAATAAAAAAAAGCCAGTGATCGTCTTTACATAGTTTGTCCACCTTGAAAAGCAGTGACAAGTTTATTTTCAAGCTGTCCCACTAAGAACATATCTTGATAAAAGTTATCCTTATTATAAAATGCTTGTTAGGTTACTTGTTTATGTTACATTGTTGGATTTTAAAAAACCTCTCAAGTATAATTTAGTAGTGAAAGAAACTCCTCATGCACAACCAGCAACGATCAGGTGCTGGTAGGTCGCAGCACTTCTTCCCATAGCCTTCCCATTTAGTGGTTTAGAGGGAAAGTGGTAGGACCTATAAGATATCTGTCTTAAGGTATTTAGCACACCTTGTTCAGTCAGCTGAACATGGATATCAGTTTTCTTAATGGTTTATGAAAAATAGTTCCATTCTTGTGACTATGTTAATAATGCTATGTCTTTATATTAATCATGCTTTGTCTTTTGCATTATGTTTTTTATACTTTCACCTTTATAAAGATTGTAAAACACTTGTGAAACACAATTGTGACCCAGATGCAGCCTATTTATCACACTTGTGAGGGTTAATGTAATTTTACGGAGTGAACCTGAAGACGCTACAGGCAAAATGTGTTGTTAGCTGCTAATAAAATCACAGTGAAGTCATTCCAGAGTGCGGTGGTCAATTTAGATTTTTATCAATGCTAGAAATCCATTGTTGGTCAGCCTCTAGATAATGGGCTTTTTAGTATTAAAGGTAATAAATAAAATAAATATAATAATATAAATAATAATAATAAAATTAAATAATTTGGAATTTCCCCATTGTGGAACAAATAAAGGAATATCTTATCTTATCACTTAAGTTTGAAAGTCTGTCGCTCCACTTTTATTGATAGTGATGATAGATTCAGTGGGGGCTGTTTTTCACTCACCTGGTACGCAGTTTCACCTGTCTCCTCCGCCCTCTGAACCCTCCGGACCACCAGGAAACAGTGCAGGAAGTGAGACTTGATTACATCAGACAGAAAAGGGGTTTGGCCCTCCTGGTAGACCAAAGCTACAATGTCATTACCAATGTGTCTTTTTCTTTGTAACTATGTTGTGGAGATGAGGAAAAGGAGAAAAACAGTGTGTCAGTGTCTGTTTAAGAATTCCTGTGAATCATCAACGGAGAAGAAACGCAAGGGTGGTACAGTAACTGACCTGCTGTGGGTCACCCTCTGTAAAAGGCAGTTTAGTTGCAACATGGAACATGATTTCTCTCTCATGAAAGGAAGTGAAGACTGCTTCACTCCCCGTCTGACCATGACACACGTCCAGTCCTCCTCTGAACCTAAGGAAGCGGAGTGAGGAGACGAAATCATATGATTTTACTCATTGCATGTGTCATTTTGCCATGCACAAACACCATGCACTATACCCGGTAAAGCCTTGCAGTTGAATCGTCTCTCCCAAAATAGAAAGGAACTCTTTAAACTCCTCACTTTCGTCATTGTTACTGAGTATGTCCTCCTCCGTGAACTAGAGAGAGAGAGACAGATGTTGCCTGAGAGGAAGTTGGTTATGATATGGCGCCATATTTGTCATTTATTGCACAATTTCTTACCTGCCTGTCCTTTTGGTACAAAATGCCAAACTTGAAATTAGGAGACACTCTGTGTTCATCAAATGCAGTTATGAGTTCTGGGGCCTGACGGATGAGTGAGAAGGAGATTTGAGAGGATTTGGGTAAAATAAGTCATAATTTCTTTTAGTTATTTGTAATTCTGGAGCATTACCTTGAGGTAGCTGACCACTTCAAACTTTGAGACAGTCACTCTGTCACAGAGCATCTGGAAAGAGTGATTTTAGTATTATACATTATTCCTGTTTTATCCTACTTTATACATGTATTTCACTATGTTTCAGAGGGATTTACAACTATTTGGCAGCTATAGTTACTTTGCTGATTGTGTTTTCATAAAAAAATTTACATATAAAACACATTTTTATAATACATTTTTATAAATTAAAGTACCCAAACTAGGGGAGATAAAGTAAGTTAAACTAGCTCAATCAGCTATAACAGTAAAAAAGGCTTCATACATGTTAATTAATGAACATAACATAAAATAAAAACACTCTGAAAGGGATGATGAAAACATTTGCTTGGGATACTTAAAGTATATTTAGCTGATAACACATCATGTCATTATTTGTCTTCCACCAGAATAAGTAGTGTGATACCTTGGCTAACTCAACAGCGGATGGGATGTTGGGGAAAAGAGACACAGAGAAAACTCCATGCAGAGAGCACTCCTTCATCCTGTAAGACAAGAAAAAAACAATCTTTGCATTATTGTCAGTGATGCAGTATTGTTGGAATTAACAGTTTCTACATAGATACATCGGTGCTAACATCTTAAACTGAGATTTGAGGTAAGCAGAGAAACTTTCCCCCCTTCAGCAGATGAATGTGAAAACAGCTCAAACATCGGAGAGAAGTAACAATAAGCAACATAGATTTTTGAGTGGAGGGTGACTTTCTGTGAAATGGGAACATCAAAAAAAATTTCTCATAATTTACTAAAATGGTTAAAGATCTAAACCTTAGTATCACTCGCAGCCTGTTCTCCTCTTCCTCCAAACACACAGAGAGAACCAGAGGCCCCAAAGATGGATCCACTGCTGTGAATGAGTGATGGTACTAAAGAGGAAAAAGAGGACAAAACATAAATACCAGACCAAGGGAAGAGAATACATTCCTTGAGATTTTAAGTCTACTTACTCGTGAGCGGAAGAACTCGTGGTAGATTTTGGCCTCTCCGTCTCTCTCCATGATGTCGAAGCTCTCTGGATCAAGGCCATAGTGGGAAGAGGTGGGACTCACATCTACGAGCCTCTCCAGAGGGGGGTCTATCCAGTAGCCCCCCAACTTTGAAGGTAGGATGAGCGGCAGGTCTCCACCTATCGTCAAAAGCTGAGTCTAAAATAGACACAAAGGAGCACCTGATGATGATGAGGGCCTGTCGTTTCTGTTGTTAGGGGAAACAAATGTCATGATGTTCATAGAAAGGTCAGTGACAATACACACATGTGCGGGATCAAACCCGTATATAGATTCTCAGATTGGAGACTAACCTTCAGAGGAAGGGGGAATTCACACCGCTGCTCATCGATCCTGCTGCCCTGATGGACAAGCGGAGTATTGATGATAAGAAACCTGTGCTGCTCAGACACCAACAAACACACACACACTACACAAGATCAATTGTAGCGTAACTCACCTGCAGCTTTTCAATGATTTCAAACAGCTCTGTTTCCTGTTCGGAACAACGGGCAGCAAACGTCAGGCAGAAATGCAGACGGAGAGAAGGGGAAGGAGACGCACACAGGGAGAAAGAGGAACATGACAAACGCTTCAGTTGCAAATGGGAACTTCTCAGAAACGCAGGACATGGAAATACATTAACTATGTTTAATTAAAATGAGTGGGGAGGGTGCACGCTGAACATGATAATGATATCACCCTCTGGTTGCTGCTGGCAGGGAGGAAAGGCTTGCTCTCACTGGCAGGAGAGTCCAGGATGTCCAGTATGTTGTCCTCTGCAGATTCAGGTCTGCAGCAACAGGTTCATTCACACAAGAAGACAGCACAGTTCATCACTTCTCATTCAGTTGTTACTTTATACAAAAAAAAAGCTTGAGTGTCAGCTCGAAAACAGCTGCAATAAAATGGAAAATAAAACCTCACCTCGTCTCATCCCCACATGTGAATCTGTCCACACTGTAAACAAGGAAGTGAGAGCTACTCAGAGAAGAAAACGAATCATCTTACATAGACACGATTGGTTATATAAAAAAAAAAAATTATTCAGTATATGTAATAACAAGTCAGTTGACTTGTAGTGGAAAATGTCACTTCTAATATGAGACAAACAGTGTCCTTACTCACCTTCCATATGCGCCAAAAGTGAAACTTCTCTTTCTGGAGAAGGACATGTCATTCCTCTTTTCTCTCTCCATGGCTTTGGTGTCACTGTGAATGTTTGTACATGCCAGTTTGCTACCGACTCAATCAGGGCTGGCTAAGGTTGAATTAATTCACTCTTTCATTCTGTCACTCCTCCTCCTCTCTGCCCCCTGCCTCTCACTCATTTAAGCTTCCCTTTCCTCCCTCTGTCCTGCTGTCAGCCCAGACAGGCAGCATTAACCCACTCATGGTCACAGGTGCAGCGGATGCAACAAACTACAAAACGGACACAGTCAGGCTTCACACCCATTGATTCTCGTGCTCGAATAAACGCTGGTGGTGGTTTCTCAGACTGGCTGAACTTAAACACAGACTTGTATATAAATAAAGAAATGGGTGAGACATTTTCTCCGGGACCTGTTACCCTTTGAGTCAGTGAGGATCATCAATTATTGACAGCACACACACAGTGAGGGTGAGGAGAGAGACAGCAGGGGAGGGTGAAGTAGGCCTCAGGATAGGGAGAGAGAGAGAGAGAGAGAGAGAGAGAGAGAGAGAGAGAGAGAGAGAGAGAGAGAGAGAAAGCGGAGTAAGAAAGAGAGATATTTGAAAGAAAGAGATGAACAGAGAGAGGTGTGCACATTTAAATGGTGTCCCACACAAGTATCATTTCTATGAACTGTACCTTTATTGAATATTGTGGTGAAAGAAAAAAAAAAACCATATCAAACTGATCAAAGTGAAATTTTGGACTTAAGTGAAAGATAAAAGAAAAAATGCTCACACAAGAAGCCCCAAAAGACGCTTTACTTAAGAAAACTAATGTAAAAATACTCATTTACTCACATTACAAGTTATAATACTTTTTAAAATCCCAGTTAATTAAAATTAAGCTCCTTGTACTTAAAGTATAAAAGAACGTGTGCAGAAGAAAGTTTCCCATGAATGTTATTTTATTTTATGGCATTATTAGATCATTATCATAGCTACATTAATGTACCATTACTTTATTTACTGTTTATTACTTTAGTTTGGTAAAAAATTTTAATCTGAACCAAACTATAATTATTAAATGTGTACTCACTTCCAGTCAGTGTGAAGAGTTGGTTAAGAGGACGTTGTTGGGTTTTAAATGGCTGCAGCAGCAAACACGTACAATGACTGTACAATACTGTAGAGTATTGGTCATGCTGAATATTATATTTAAGGCAATTGATGTAACTCAGAATTAGGAAGTTGTATTTCTCAACAGATGCAGCCATTGCTTCCTTGTAAGCTATTATAACCAAATGCAATGTCACAAATAAAGCTGGCATTTGATTGTTCTGTTCTTGATTCTTGATCTATTTCCATCTACGTGTTTTGTTCTAAATTCCCCTTTTTAAATTTTTTTCCTCGATGTATCTACTCTACCCTGCTACATTTTACTTTTTGTTTCCATTTCCTATATCATTTCGTCCATATTCATATGATCAAAAAACTTGTTTTCGGTAATTTCACAAGATATTTAACACTTCACACATAGAAAATAAACTTTTTATTTGTCTATAACAGAAAATGTAAAGCTTATTTAACAAATAGCAGAAAGGTCCTTCTTATATTTATTAAATATTAATTGTTACTGATTACCCTTAAGTGTACGCAGCATTTTAATAGTTGAGGTGCAGCTCATTTGAACTTTATATTCTATAAGTTTAATCTGTAACAAAAACAATATCTGTTAAGTGGAATTAAAAGTAGTAGTAAATATTTATTTGAATTGGAAGTATTAAATAGCATAAAATAAGAACAGTAAAACATTTTTTTATTAAAATACCATGGTCCATACCACCGCTATTAATTACACATCTTAATTAAATATTGTTTGTCTGATTTTGAGCTATAATTATACCTATTATAATAATTGGAAATCAGTTTAAGTTGAATCCCGTTACATTTTTTTGTATTTTCAGCCAATAACAGTCCATCCTCGTTGAGTTAAATGATTCTCCATTAGTGAACTGTTTGTGCCTGTCTCCAAAGCGCTCCTTATCAATTGGCTACTTATTTACAGAAAACGGATTCAAAATTCAAAATGCCCTTGAATACACCGTCTTTACAGTAGTTTCACTTGGGAGGCGCCCGTGTGTGAAAGGAGCCAGGCGATTGGATGTTTGAAACGTCAGTCATTTTTTACTCCGCTCTCATTGGTCAGAATCCAAAAACAATGACTTTGTAGCCCCGCCCCCTCGCGCTGCAGCAGCGGATACCCCGCGGAAGTTGGTTTGTAGAGTGAGGACGGGATGTTGTTAATTTGTGTGAAATAGTAAGAAACGCGTCGACGTTTTTCCTGTAGTTTTCCCGGACGGTTTGATATTCTGTTGCAGAAACAGAGGAACGGTAAGAAAGTAGTTTTTGACTCAACTATATATCGCTCACTTTCATGCAGGGAAGAAGAGGGGCAGTCCGGAGTGAGCTAGCTAGCTGGTTAGCATTGGTAATTAGCCATCAACGTTTAACTGTAAATATAACTTACTGTAAACTACAGTCTCTTTAAGTCGGACGTTTTATTAATATCATAACATAAAGCCACACATTTAACTACTGTCTTCGCAAACTCATTAGTTAGCTGTTCCTTTGTGTACACCTGCAATGTCCACCTAGCGTTGATGGTGGTTTTTATTTTTAAAAGTACTCCATTACATAGTTCATGAGTATTTAGAGATGATACTACCTGTTGTATATTAACTATTTAGTGACAGGTAAGAATGAGAGCGTCCAGCATTAATGTTCAACAATCTCATTGCTGTCTGAAGCGAGACATTAAACAGACCACACTCACAGTATGTCACAGTTATACTGTGTGTTTTATTGGTATGGAGGTTCATGTGTCTTATCTGTCCTACACACAGGTTGTTGATGCAAAATGTTGGAGTGTGGCATGCTGGAGAGAGACAGCCGGGCCCTTCGGAGACACTCTGCTACTCTCTGCAAACAGCTGGTGGTGGATGCACTGCTCATTCAGTCCTTACAGGCAGAGGACATCCTGACAGAGAGCATGGCAGAGAGCATCATGGTATGTGAGCACTCGTATATGGATATCGGTTCCTTTTAGGACCCGCAGGAATAAGTAGTCTGATATTTCAGGTGACTGTGTTACTTTTGTCAGCTACCTACACATTGAATGATCGATACACCTGCTTAAATTGCTGCCAGTAGGTTTTTGCTTGGCTGCCAGTAACTTTGGTTAAGGTTTACGGTCAAGTTTATGTATGGATAAAACCTGGGGCCTCATGATGTGTATCTTGAATTTCTCTTATGGGGGATTAATAAAGGTATATCTTATCTTATCTTATCTTATCTTATGAGACTGTAGGGTCTAAAGATGATTACAGGGAACGTATTTTGTATTATTATTGTTGTTATTTTTTGTACAATAGCAGATACTTTCAGTTGTTTAATCTTTTTTTTTATTTTAAACAAATCAAAATCATCCTTTGGCTGAACTGTTGTTTTACCATTCGTATTAGGATTTTAAAAATTTAAATTTTAAATAAGGATTTAAAATTTGATGAGGGGTCACAAGGACACATTGCTTAATTTCAAGGGTCACTAGCCAGATAGGTTGGGAACCACTGGGTTATGTCCTTCAGTGAACGTGTAAAGTAAAAAGTTTATTTTGGATGAGTTTGAATTTTGTAAGTTCTCCCTGGCTGACATTACTGATTACTGAGGTACCCCCTTTAAACAACCAGTGGCTGGTTCAATGCATGCTATTTTATTTTTCAGACAGACCTTGGGGCTGTATATATGTAAAATATATATTAAGTTAATATTAGTGTGAAAATAGTAAATCCAAAAATGTAAATGTACCATTAAATTTCATATTTGATCTTTAGTTTCTGATCGGCTCTCCTCCACTCTAGGCTGAGCAAACATCTCATAAACGAAGCTGGCGTTTACTCCTACTATTACCAAAGCGAGGGCCCAGAGCCTTTAGCAGCTTCTGCTCAGCTCTGCGAGAAACTGAGCAGAAGCACCTGTGTGACCTGCTCACACAAACAGCAGAAAAAGATGGCAAAGAGACATATGTAGAGGTGAGTGTGCGCTTTATCATACATCACCACACACACAACACAAAGCTGCAGCATACACAGCAGATTCTTACCAGACTTAGTGCAGTTCTTGGACTGATTTCTGCTCACAGAGTATTCAGCCTGAGGAAGAGCCAGAGGGAAAAGCAGGGCAACTAGTGACACAGCCAACAGAAAGTAAGAGAGAGGTGAGCAGAGGGCTTTTAACCCCCCTATCAGAATTACTGCAGTCATTGTCACTGTTGACATTTTAGACAGAACAAATGTCCAGAGAACTATGTATTATTGTATATCTCTTTTTAAGGAGGTTTCATAATTGTCAGAGTAATTTCACATGCTCACAGATCTAAGAGTTACACATCTCAGATAACGGTATGAACGGTTACATGGTCTTCTGCAGACATCTTTAGGAGACAGAGAAGAAAAGAGTGAGGTGAGCAGCACTTCATCATGCCCATCAGTCCAAGCCTCAGATAACTGCCTGCGCTCAGAGTCCTCAGTGGGATGGTTGGTCCCAGTCAGGGAGGAAGACAGGAAGACAGAGAGACAGAGGACGAAGAAAAGAGGAAGAGATAAGCAGACAGATGTGAGAATCACAAACCACATCCATATCATGTTAAACAACCAGATGGCCTGCTGAGGTAGTCACACAGCAGGCAGGAGATGGCTTAATAGTTAAGTTATGATTGTAGTAGTCATATTCCCACAACAGCTGCTGTTGCGACAGCCAACAACAAAAGCCGCCATTATGTGTCTTGTTTTGTTTGCTTTAAGCAGCTGATGGTTTGTCATTAATAATTTGTACATGACTTCAAATTTCAGAGGTTTGTGGACTCTCTCCCACTTCCCACCCAAGAAGGAATTGCTGCCAAGAGAGCAAGGACACATGGTGAGTGGTATTGCAGTGTTGCCTGCATTCAGGATAACATAGGTTTCTCTTGTTGTCAATATTGTTCTGTTTCCATGGAGACAAGGGTGTTGTCTGGAAGTGTTTATCTGTTTAAACAGACAGGTAATAGAATATACTTCAACACAAAAAAACATGTTGTAGCCCTCAGCAGCTTTAGAGAGTTCAGTCTTTGTGAATTGTTCATTGTATAATCTTATCACTGAGAGAAGTGTAGGAGTGTGGTTACTCTAGTATTTGGCTGTCTGTACCTACAGGCGCCACGCCCCAAGACTGACTCATTCACAGCGTTGTAGTACAAAGTTTGTTGTTGCACATTTGCCGGTGGGAGCACACAATGATGTGCATCAGCAATTTAACTTGTAATAATCAGAGTTTAACCTATTAATGATTGTGTTTGTGTGTGTGTGGCAGAGTCCATGGAGTTTAGTCTGGATGCAGACAGTCCCATCAACACTCCTGTGCTCCCGTGCACTCCTGACTTTTACCTCTCTCACTGCCAGCAGGTAAAACACTTTTTCTCTTCACCAGATCTGGTTTACAGTGACTTACTTATGTTTTACCTGTGGGCTTTTTTAGAAACACTTGTCTTCAGTGTCACACCAACTATCTAGATGTTTCAATATATAACACTAAATGCAAAGATAAATAAATGTAGTGAATGTGGAAAAGTAATAATAGTATAAATTAATGTTTACAAGTAAGTTATTAAAGCCGTTATATGAACGAAGCTTTTTTATGAAGTTATTTTGGTTTTTTGGACTCTTTGATCCATTCTTCTTTTTGCTTTTCTCTCACTTCCCACACTCCAGTCCTACAGAATGAATTCATCCCCTCGTGGTTTTGCTTTGGTGATCAGTAATGTGACCTTTGATCCTTGTGCTGCGCCTGACCTTGACCCGAGGAAGGGAGGTGAGGTGGATGACGAGGTCCTCAGGAAGGTGTTCACAGAGCTGGACTACCTGGTTACAGTCCACAGAGACCTCACTGCTCAGGTAACACACACACAAAAGCAGGTTCAGTATGTATTTACAGGATGTTATTTCAAATATATTTGTCTTATTTAGCTGACAAAGCTAGAACATGAAGTTGTAAAAGGGGAGGTGCAACCTTGGAATCATTTTCAGAAAGTCACTTGGCCGGTGCTTGTAGAAAAGCTGCTCTCATGTAAGATTCGTTTGGCAGGTTTGTTTAGCTCAGTTCCCATTTTCAATGCTGTTCAGTGTGCCAATGTTATCACAAAACACATTTAATATTTCAGTAATTAGCTTATTGTAAGAAATGAAAATGAGGAATGAATAAGCCATGTAACCACATTGTTGCCTTATCAACCTGTTAAGTATTACAAATCTTGGGCTCGTCTGAATCACACATTTCCTGATTCCACATTCTTTGTGTAGGGCATGAGGACGTGTATTGAGACCTTTTGTCGACGGGCAGACCACCGGACAGTGGACAGCTGTGTGGTGTGTTTGCTCTCCCATGGAGTGGAAGGAGCTATATATGGTACAGACGGACAGCTCCTGCAGGTGTGTTTGGTTCATAGGTAGCGCTGATGTATGTAATGCCATTCAAGGGTGAGGATCAACCCCCCTTACATTTAACATGTGATCAATTTCAGCTGGACTGGGTGTTTGAGGCCTTCGACAATGCACACTGTCCCCTGCTTCAGAACAAGCCGAAGATGTTTTTCATCCAGGCCTGCCGAGGAGGTAAGACTCTCTGTGTTATTCTGTACAGCCCTCTATCATCATTAATTAAATTGACCTACAAAGCTTCCTGTAGTGACATCATCACAAATACACATGGCCAAACCAAGTTTTCTTCACTGGGTGTTTGAACTCATTGGAGCTCAGCCACAGAGTGAGTTCAGATGTCCAGGGAGATTTCAGAGTGCAGCCACTGCTCCGTTTGGGGCGGGTGCACTTTGAAGAGACACTGGGGCAGACGCATAATGGATCATAATATGCAAATGTGAATATGCAAATACGTGATTGTAATGCCTTATAACGTATGTTAAGACTACCTATGTTAAATTGGTTGGATCCCTCCAACATAATAAAAGCTTTTACTGTAAGAGAAAGACAATACGCAGATGCCAGCCTGTCTCTCCACATGTCCAGATGTTGTTGGCTGTCACCTTCCTGGCCACTGGGACAGATAACCCGGGCGATCCAGATGCCGTGGATTGTGTCATAATATGTCAAATTTAAATGTTCTGTTAATAGAACATAATACAGTAGTAGTACAATAACATTTCATAAACATGTAATTAATCTGTGACTTAACGACGCTCCCAGCTAATTAATATGTCTCTGTGATGGAGGTTATGGTCTCACTACATGGCTGATGATGCTCCCGACACACCCTCAGACCCCTCAGGAGCAGTCGTAATTACTGTCACGCAGTCCCTCGCTCCACCACAGAGCCCACCACAGGTGTGCTGATGAAAGGCCATTAGATGTGGTTGGCCACTGCCTCTGCAGATAGCTTCAGTCAAAACCAATAATTGGTTTGTTGCAGTATTCATGAAAATCCTGTCATCCTACTTTCCAAAATTAATTACATTTACACCAGCAAATGCGAAGAAATGGCTAATATAGTCTCCTCATGCAGAAGTTAAAAGACTTTTTTAACTGAAGCTCAGAAAAATGACTGATTTTGGCTTTCATTTAAGAGATCATTTCAAGAATCCACTTAAAAAAATATCCCATTACATGTTCTTATTACAAAATGTATTATTCAATTTTTTGATTTATCAAAACTTGCCATGACCACAGTCAAGACCCACTTAAATTCCAGTCCAAGACAAGTCCTGGTCCTATAGTCAGAGAAACAGCATCTCGAGACTGAAACCAGGCTCAGGTACTTCAGCCCTGATTTTTGCACCAGAGGTTAAGAAGACTGTTGGATGTTTGATGTTGATTAGAAACTGTCTTGTCTTCCAGATGAGATGGACTGTGGCGTGGAGCAGATAGATGGGCCAGCAAGGACCTGCTCACCAAGCTGTGAACAGCGGGATGCTGGGAGGGAAGGACAGGGGGATGCAGACTCCAGACAGAGAGGGGACATGGGTAGGCCCAGGATTAAACTGCCCCAGCGGTCTGACATGATCTGTGGCTTCGCATCTCTCAAAGGTCAGAGAATTTGTAAGTTTGTCCCTTTTGCTATTTTGGTTATTAGCAAAATGTTTACTTAAAGGTCCAGTGTGTAACATTTAAGAGGATGTATTGGCAGAGATGGAACATGATATTCATAAGTATGTTTTCATTAGTGTATAGTCACTTGAAAATAAAAAATGTGTTTTGGTTACCTTAGAATGAGCTGTTTATATCTGCAGAGGAAGCCGGTACTCTTCCACAGAGGACAAACCAAACACTGCCTCTAGATAGGGGCTTTTTCCTACACTCGTGGATAGGGGTGGAATCTTTTGGCACCTCACGATTCGATTCGATTACGATTCAGAGGTCAACGATTCGATTCTAAACCGATTATCGATGCATCTCGATGCAACAATTTTTTATTTATATTTATATAATTTTCAAGCGTGATTTTAAAATATATATATACATCTGAGTTTGCTACTCAGAGTTTGCTAATCACTTCCTACTACTTTTGTGATATTCATTAAAGACAATCAACAGATGAATTACCTTCTCTAAATTTTATTAGAGAAAAAGCTTTTCTTGTCACAAATATGACTTTCTATGAACAATGCAGCTTACATTTTAACACAATATGTAAGTATGTTAAAAAAAACGATTCATTTTTCTTTTCTTTCTAATCTTTCTTTTCTATGTCATTAAAGAAAAAGCTGCTCTTAGTCAATTATAAGAATTTGCCCTCTCAATTGTCCTCTGGCTGCCATCAGGAACGGGTCGCTTTTCCCCCAACTCTGAGTGGTGTCGAGCAATGTGGTTTCGCAGGTTGGTTGTATTTCCGAAGTATTTAATTTGACTTCTACACACCTTACACACAGTGTAGGTCTTGTCCATCTTCCCATCGACCTCATAGAACCCAAAATACTGCCGTATCGCTGCTTTTAAAGAAGCTGGTGCAGGCCGTAGAGGTTTGTCGCTCGCAGCCATTTTGTCGCCACTAAACTTTGGATGTAAACAACTCGCACGTGTTTGGTGCGCATGCGTGTTGGCGGAGAACCGGCAGGCAGAAAGGAGAGTTTTCTGTAACACTCTGCAGCAGGCGAACAGAACGTTGCAGCACGCAAACTAATTTAATTTTTAAAATTCCGATTATTAACTTATCTGCATCGAGACGGAATCGCTCTAGAGAGAATCGTGATGCATCGAAGAATCGATTATTTTTCCCACCCCTACTCGTGGAAGGGCAAGCTGTATTCTTCCAGTTGTTTGCTATCTGCAACTTCACAGATAGATGCCACGAAATCCGACACTCTGGGCCTTCAACTTTAGTGCGAAAGATTACAATGCGTGAAAAATTGAATGCTGCAGTAGAGGTGTGCAGTAATCTATGAAAAAAGAGAGGTCGTCGAGAGGTAGCCGTATTTCAACCAGCAAAAACAAATCGTTTTTTTTTAAACGATTAAGCCAACTGTGGCTTAATGTGCCCTTGTTTTCTACCTTCTGTTATGCGTGCAGCCGGCTCAAAGATTTACTGAAACAAAACCAAAATAGATCATATGAGAGGCTTTAAAGGTAAAGTTCACTGATTTTACACATCGTCTTAGAGACTACTACTACATATATGAACAAAGTTGTATGAAACCTTTTGTGGTTCCAGAGGAAGCTGCATGAAGTCTGCTAAAAAAATATGTCAGGCAGCATGCGTTGGGGCTGAAGACTACTACTAAGTTAAGAATCTGAGGGTGTGGAGGCGCAAGGATACATTAGCCACTACTAGCATAACATACCTGAATCTCCAAGTGAGCTGTTGGCAAAGAAAAATTTCTCTGGTTGTGCTGCATCCATTATCATACTTTTTTATTAAACTGTCTGTCGTGAGTTTGACAGTGTTACAAGAGTGCAATTTTAAATCTGTGATCCCTTTTTAAAGAACCAAAGTGTCTGGGGTTAAAACCATATTTGTCGATGAAGTTTTCGTTGAGCTCTGCCTTCATGTATTTCTGTTGAGCTTAGACTACTTTTCCACGACAGTTATCAAAGTTTTAGATGTTAACATAATTTTATAACTTTTCTGTTTCTGTTTCCAGTTGTGTAAATACCAAACACCACCTGAGCTCCCGCTGTATTAAGCCTTTGTTTGATCCTTTTCTCCTCAAGGCACAGCAGCCATGCGGAACACCAAGAGAGGATCCTGGTTTATCCAAGAACTTAACACATCACTTCGCCTCAATGCCAGAGACACACACCTTGCAGACATAATGGTGCAGGTGAGCATAGATTGTCCTGTACTTTCATATGCTGCATTCATGGTGTTAAATGTACTTTTTTATCTAATGAACTTCTTTAAGACATTACTGTAATCTTCCTGTCTCTTTTTTCTCTGTCTCTAGGTCAACGGGCGCATTAAGGAGCGGGAGGGTTACGCTCCTGGCACCGCCCACCATCGCTGCAAAGAGATGTCGGAGTTCACCAGCTCATTGTGCAAAGACCTCTACCTTTTCCCCAAGTACCAGCCCCAGTATTGATATCCAAATATGCACATACACAGATGAACACACACAGACCATTCCTTACACTGAAGCCTCTCAAGAAACGACACACGACTGTTTATTCCAAACAATTACTGCCACACACTCACACATTCCCCTGTTACAACCTCATGTCCAAACAGAGGATTTATTCATTCATATTTTCTGTGTAAATACTGCCTCCTCAAACCCGCAGACACACACATACACACGTACACAAATACGCAAATCTTGGAAATGAAAAAGGAGCAAGCTTATGTTAATCTACATGTACTCGGAAATGGGCAGCGTTTTAGCATACAACTCACTCATGTATCTGTGTGCCTGTGTCTATGCCAGTTAGAGGGTTTAGATGTTAATCCGTTTTAGTCAAAGACAGAATCATATTTTTTTGTTTTCTTACTGCACAGCAACTTTGAGGTTTCGCTCACTTTTTAAAATGTATTTTGTACACAGATCTATTTTTGTGGCCTTATTTTGTATGAAATTGTTTTTATAAGGATTTTTAAGTCCATTCTTTTTATTTGTATATAATGTTTGTTCTGAATTGTGACCATTTCTTGTTTTTAGTATAGTGACAGGCAGGGGGCAGCACAGCAGAGACAAATGCATTTCATCATCTGTATGTCATAAATATTCATATCTTCTGCAGTTCAAAAGGGTCTATACTGTCATGATTGCAGATGGCTTTTATTTTAGTTATAGTCACCTACAGGGATAATTAAACTGTAAAATCTTTGCAGCAGGTTCTGCCCGCTCTCATTAGAGAAGTTATTTTCCTCTCTCACGTAGTTTGCCTTATGAAGTGAGAAAAACACCTACAGGGCAGCTACAAAACTGTTTGTTTGTTTGTGGCTTTCCAACCATTCAGTGTGCTTATGTGGTTGCAAACCCACAAACAAACAAACAAACAAAAGCAGCCTGAATGAAATTTTAACCTTAAATTCACAAAGGAACTCACAAATTTTACTTTATATGTTACTGTAGATCTGTCCCTGTCGTGGTGGTGGGCTGCCAGGGGAATGTGGTGCTACTTGTGGGGTCATACACCTACAGTGTGAACTCTGACCTTTATGGTATCTCTGACTCCTTATAGTGTTTCTCCCTGTGTGGGAGCCGCACATTTAGTTAGTCCATGTACAGTTTTCGTGGTATTTTACTGTATCTGGTACAGTAACGATAAAACATGTATTTCTTATGTCTTCCATAAACAATATGCAGTTTTCTACAGTGACCTGTAACATGTGACAATGGTCTCTTAGATGAATTCATTACCATTGAGCTTTTACAGTGTATTGTATTGCTTTGGCAGCCTCACACACAGAGAAAAATCTATTTCTGAAGGCTTTGTGAGCATTGATGATTCCCAGAAAGGCCCTGACTAGGCAAAGTGTGTTTAGTTACAACAGTGTTGTAGTGAAGAAAACAGAATATTTGGTCAAAACAGTATTGATTAACCATCTGTAAACAAAGATGCTTTCAAGCTCTGTGTGTGAGGTACTTGTGGTAGAGTTTACCTCGACCTGGAAGTAGTGCTCTCCTCTTTGTTTTAAGTAATTGGGAAAATATAATTTAAAAAAGAAAAACATCCGAGTGGTATGAAAGGGTAACTCTCCTGCAGGGTGAGAAGTTTTGAAGGTTTGATATTTGCTGCCAAGCTCTGCTGAGGTGCAGTGTGAGGGGGCTGGGAGAGATTTTATTTCTGTCAATGCTAATGACCAAATGTGCTATACAATAAACAGGCCATGGTTTTTAAACAAGAGAAACTTTTTGTTTGTTTTTCTTACATTTGCATGTTCATGAGTGTATCTGCATTTCCTCTGACTGTGTTTTTGTGTGCATATGTTTGGTTTAAGCTGAGTGCTGCACCATGAGACCTCTGCACAAATGTACGCTGTGGCTGCTCCTGTGCATGCTCCACTTTATTTGATCCTCCTTGTTGCTGTGTTTGTGTGTGTTGTTCCCCGGTGAACAGCCTGTCCTCTCAGTTCTCAGGTATAGTATAACTGGCTCCCCACTATTCCGCTGTGCTCAGGTCTCTCCATGCTGTGACTGGGACGTATGTATCTCTCACACTGCCCGCCGCCCAGTGAAAATGTTCTTAGTGTATCAGATAGAGGCCCAGCCAGCTGTCCACAGTCATTCTCCCTTGTCACACACACACACACACACACACACACACACACGCCGACGGTCAGAGTAACACATTTCTCGCTGGCCTCCGGTGTAGCTGTGAGATTAGGCTGTTATGCGCTGGCGTGTGGACCACAAAGCGGGGCGGGGTTAAGGGGGATCTGTGTGTGTCTGTGTGTCTTTGTGGTTCTCGTAATGGCCGCCTGTCTCATCAGCTATGAGAGGAAGAGCCAGAGGACGAGTTAGAGACGTTTAGATTAACTTGTCTGAGTGGGATGTTGTCTCTCTGGGGGTGCGGAGCAGTGGTGGTCTTCCCTGCAGGCCTGTGAGCTTCTCAGCTTTTCAGTGATTTATGTGCGGCACATACACACTCAGCTCCCTCGCTGTATTAGTTCCTCTATACATCTGAACCTTCTGGAGAGGTCAAGCGTATAGGGATCGCTTTATGGGGCTCTACAGTGTGTTTTTGGGGTCCGTCTTTTACCGTGGGTGGGCGCATTCGGGGTGATTTTTAATCAGGACTGCCATAGCATGTGAGTGTTATGGGGATTGCCTTGCATCATTGGCTGATTAGGTGTGAGCTGTCATAGGGGTGTCATGTGCACCTTCCTGCTCACGTTGCAGGGGCAGCCCTATGGGGGGTGCCCTTCCAAACCTTTCAAACCCCCCCCCCCAAACAAGAAGTCCATCCAAACACACACACACACCTAATGGCCGGCTGGCAGGGAGGGTGCTGCCTAGGGCAACAAGTTGTGTGTGTGTGTGTCTGTGTGTGTGTTATTAGGTGTCTGCAGTTCTAATAAAGGAAAGCGCTGCGTCCTTCACTGCCTCATCAGATGGCTTTGCTCTGCTTTGTCTGCCTGTCTGATTTCTGTCCGTGTGTCCGTCAGGTCTGTAGTGGAGCTGGATGGCTCGCAGCCTCTGGATCATCTGGAGAAGAGAGCGTTCAGGAAGGACTCTGTAACGACTGCGTTTTGAGAATGAGTTTATAGGAGAGTGAGAAACTTTAAAAGATGTTTGCCTGTTTATTTGACCTGGTGTAAAGTGTGTGTACGGTATATAAAAGACAGGCAGAGAAAGAGAGTGTGTGTGTGTGTGTGTGTGTGTGTGTGTGTGTGTGTGTGTGTGTGTGTGTGTGTGTGTGGGGGGGGGTATGGTGTTGCCCACGCCATTCGAAATGCTGGGGTGTCCAGCGAGGTTATTTTTGGATCAGTGACAGCGTGTCAATGGCTGCAGATGCATCGCAAAGGAAGGCTCTGAGATACCAACAGACCCTGGTAGGTCTTTCCCGAAATCTACCTTTACCTGCATGCCGGTCCGCTGTCCTATTTGTCTCCTGAAATGTCTTTTACTTTCCCCTCATTTCATGCCCATCCACCTGCTTCTCCCTCATCCCTCCATCTATCTACCTGTCACTTAGTCTTTTTCTACCATCCTACACTTTCCCTAATTCTTTCTGCCCTACCTTTCAGTATTTTTCTTCCACAACTACCTCCTGGTCATTTGTTTTCATCTGCCGCATCCTTTCTTATCCACCAGCAGTCTTCTCTTTGCCTCCTCTGTTCTCTTTACTTCTTGAAAACCATTTCTGCAACTTAATGTCAAGTTTATTTGTACAGCCCTCAAACATGTTCACAGTTTCCGCTGCTTTCACACCGCCCACGCTGCTAAACACTGAGTGAGGGTGATTAATGGAAAGTCATCTCTTCAATAATCAAGGATTTTATTATTTATCACACTAAGACTCTGGTCTCTTGCTTGATTTCTTGCATTTGACTGTTATTGTGTTGGGTAAATTTCTACTTCGAGACCCCGTCTGTCTACATCTATCTGTATTCCTCCTGAAGCAGCAGCCTTGTAAAGTCATTGCTGTTTTCATGTGTTGGTGGATATAAATACCTATATACAGGAAACCTGAGCAGACAGGTTAGACGTACGTGTTGAGATGAAGTCATGTCACTATATCCTCTCGTTCATCTGTTTAAATGCTCATCCAGAATGATGGTCGAAGGAGCATCATGTCTGCATGTCTGCCATTGATGTTTTTCATTCAATCACACCTCCTCTATGGACATAAATAAGAGTGTTTTTTTTCAGCGATTGATTTGAATCATTGTGCTTTTTCTTCCGGGGTTTTAAACGTCATTTTAAATATGAATTTGAATTATAAGACAAGAGGATGACATACACAAGCAGCTGCGGTGTGTATGTATGAGTTAGAGCAGGCTGAGCAACTGACAAAGTGACTAAGAGCAGTGACAGTGACTCCTCTTCCTCTTCTTCTGAGACGATGTAGATTGCCAATAGCAAATCTCTTGTTCCCTGGTCCTTGTGGAGCCCCACAGGGGTGCCCACAGGTCAGATATAAATAAGAAATCTCAATTAACCACACTATTTACAGGCTTAATGTCTCTCTGCAAAGTCTCACATCTCTCAGGTGTGAAAGCTGCGATGGTGTCTGTGGTGTGTGTGTGTGTGTGTGTGTGTGTGTGTGTGTGTGTGTGTGTGTGTGTGTGTGTGGTGGTGGGGGGAGAGAGAGAGAGAGAGAGAGAGAGAGGAAATTAGAGCCTTGAAGGATTTGAGGAGTTTATGTGTAGAGCTGTTAATAGATCGTCCTAATATAATTTGTTTATTGATGAGCAGCAGGATATAGCAGTGTATATTTTCAGTTTGATGGTTTAGCAGGTTAAATCCTCACAGATGCACACTGATGCTGAGAGGTTACAATAGACGTCTGTTTTTAGTGTTTGCAAAAGTGTTAAAGTTAAATGTGGTTAAGTGTTAGATGTTTAGGTTTCACATAACTAGTAAGAATCTGTCTAACACTAAACTATAGTCCTTTAAAGTTCAGTTTAAAGTTCAGCTTTATTGTCATTATACCTTACAGGATTACACAATTAAATGTGGTTGTATAAATAATTAGATAAGTAGAAAGGAGAAATTCAATAAAAATTGAATAAATACGATATATACGATATAAGAAAAAAGAAACAGGACAAGTTAGGATAAAGCAACAGGCAACACTTCATTTTCTAGGTCTGTAATTCTCTATCATTTGGTACTAATTATTGCTTTCCTTGAAAGCTCTGTTTAAAACAATTATTAATTAATTCACCAAAGAATGTTATTCTCTATGTTCAATTGTGTTGTGCCTGTATTTAAATTCTTACATTTTTAGCTGACCTGATTTGCACTGACTAAAAGAATGATTGATTATACTGGTAATTAATTGAAGTATACCAAATGAACAGTGTCTCTATTTTCCCTTTAATCAGTACAAACACAATATTATCTAATGCACACCTGGCACAGAGGTATGTCATTTCAGTCATGGACTTTTATCTAGCTTCTTATAAACTTGGTGTTGACATTGTATGAGAATGATATATGTTATATATCTTCTTTTCCTGTAATTAATACCCAATTACATAGTTCTTTTTAGGAAACAGGAAGAAATGTTTTGGAAATTACAGACCTGTAAAATACTTAACAAGAAGGTTCTTTATAACTTTCAGTCTAGTTTAGCCCAGTTTTAACGTTGATGTCTTTTGACCTGCAAATCACCAAATCATTGCTTGCTGGGTTTGTAAAGTTGTGTTAATTACTTCCAAGTCACACAGTTGTTGTTGACCCTTGACCTTAACTTAGAGGAAGCACCCTCTGTGGACTTATGTCACACTGACAGATGCACTCCGGCAGGGTGGCGAAAACAAATAGCGATGTGTGTGTGTGTGTGTGTGTGTGTGTGTGTGTGTGTGTGTGTGTGTGTGTGTGTGTGTGTGTGTGTGTGTGTGTGTGTGTGTGTGTGTGTGTGTGTGTGTGTGTGTGTGTGTGTGTGCATACTGTATTGTGCTTGCTTTGATACAGCTGGTTGTGTGTTACAATTTATCTGAGGGATGTGTTTAAAAATGGGGTTGTGTGTGAGTGGATGAGTCTCAAACTGTGAGAATGTCAACAGCAGTGAAATAGATCTCATAAGTCTCAAATGTTACAGGCTACTAAAAGGGATAATGTTCACCTGCCAAATGTCTCGCAGACTGGAATGACTGGGATGTAGACGATTAAGCCATTAAATTTCACATGATATTGCAGTCACTTGATGTGTCTTTTCAATTACAGAGGTGGCAATCATGTAATAATTAAACTATTAGTAGTTACAGTAATAGTTACAAGATGAAACACTGTGTTAAAGTAGCAAAATAGCATCAATAACTTGTCATTGTTTTCGTGTAAAGGTTAAAGCCCTTCATCTGTCTGTACAAAAGGCCTCCTGGGAGAGATGGGCCGAAAGAGAGATAAACAGCGTGAGAGAGGGAGAGGTGCGGAGAAGTGTGTCAGTGAACATTGGGTCACACTGCTGCTAAATTTATCCACGAGTAAGGTTTCACCTCAGGGGTGGGGGTTGGATGGATGGGGACAAGGGGTGGTAAGAGGGAAAGTTTCAGGGGGAAGAGCGAGGGAGAAAGGTGAAAGGCTGCACACAAGGGTTCAGTCAGAGGTGAGACAGTTTGGAAAAGAAAGCAGAAGAAAATCTGGTTGCAACATCAAAAATATGACTTCTGATGTGTTTGTAGCTTTCAGGGCTGTGCAATTAGGAAAACAAACAAAATACTGAACTGAATATTAACCAAGGTTTCATTTCCCAAAAGCATCTCAAGGCTAAGGTGATATTGACACACACTTACAAGTGGACTTCTGGGAAACGTGGCCGAGAGCACAAATAACTGCAATAGGTTGCAGCTGCTCAAAAAGACCCATGTTTTTTTCTGGCTCTTAAATACATTTCTAACCAAGACATTGGACTGCTGATTATACACATAAATCTTTTTAATTCAGCTAGTACAAATTCATTTAATTTAGTTTTAAAATTGCTACAATATGTCTGTATGTTGCACCAAAATATGACAATATGATAATATTGGGGTGCCTCGTGGTTTAAGGCACTGACCATGTGATAGACCTTTTTCACAGCAGATATTTTGTCATGTCATAGCAGGAAAAGCACATGTGTAACTAATAACATTAAAGATGGCTGCATTCCCTTTTGGTGTGCATGTTTAAAGGACCAGGTATTGTGCATATTGGTCCACTGGTTTTGCTTACTGGGACACAAGACAGGATAGAGCGATCATTAATGTTATCAGTTACAACTGTACTTTTCCAGCTATATCACAAGAGTCACTCCCCCTCTCTTTTCCCTCATTTCTTCGTCACCTCTCTAGTATTGACTGATTGATAAAGGCATAAAATGCTCAAAAATACTTAAAAGAAAATGTAATGTTGATCATACTGTATACTGATGTTGGCTATAAGTAGGAGAAAAGTAAAACTGGGTTGAATTAAATCAGGTTTGGAACACTTCTCAGGTTTTCAGGCAGGTCGTTCCATTTACTTGCTGCAAAGAAACTGAAAGCAGTTTCCCACCATCCATTTTCTGCTGCTCAGGTCACCAGTAGACCTTTTTCACAGCAGCCATTTGTGACATGAATTAGTAGGGTAATCATCTACTGTCAAAATGGCTGCTGTGAAAAAGGTCTAGTGGAGGTTTGGAGTGTATCCCAACATGCATCGAGTAAAAGGCAGGAAAACAACCTGTACAGGACACCAGTCTACTGCAGAGTACGACTAAATCAGACATAGTTACACTCTGTTTGCCTAAATATGGTTAAATAGAAATAAAACGGTTATTTTCAAGCTGACACTGCATATTCAGGGCCAATGCTAGATTGATCTAATCCCAACACATGTTAAGTTAAATAAAACACTGTCGTCTACCAAACTGACTGAACCCTGCTGTTTGTCACCAGATAAATGCAAATAGCTACTTGGTGGGACAGAAAACCAGCAGCACTCTGGTCCCCAAAGACTCAGAAACCACGTGAGAACTACTGGGTCACAACAGAACAGTCAGTGACCCATTTTAGGTCCCACAGTTGGAGAACCGCTTGACTAAATAAAGGTAAGGCATAGAGTCCAGCTGAGGTAACCACATTGTGATAATATGGTACCAGCTTATCCAAAATAAATCAGTAATTGTTTATGTCGGTAAAAATGTTTTATGGGCTGCATTTTTATATATTTTGACCTGATTAAATATTTACATTTGACTTTTTATTCATTGTTTTTAAGTAAGTTCAATGTTTAAATTTCTTTCATAGTAAAATCTATTGTTCTAATGTAAAATATCTTGCCAAAGTACATATTTTTGTCACAACTTTAACCTAATCCTTAAGTACCAGATTTGAGCATTCACCGCTAAAAACATTGTTTGTGTACA